CCCGCCCCCAGGTCATGCCCCTGGTGGCACCCATCATGAAGGTGCAGGCCTCTACTATTACCCACTCACCCCTCCCCCCGCCCCTAGGTCATGACCCTGGTAGCCCCCATCATGAAGGTGCAGGCCTCTACTATTGCCCACTCACCCCTCCTCCCGCCCCCAGGTCATGCCCCTGGTGGCACCCATCATGAAGGTGCAGGCCTCTACTATTACCCACTCACCCCTCCCCCCGCCCCCAGGTCATGCCCCTGGTGGCACCCATCATGAAGGTGCAGGCGTGTCGTCAGTACGGGGCCAACATCCTCGTGCGTGGCAGCGACATCGGCGAGTGTCGCACCATCGCCCTCAAGATGGCGCGCCAGCAAGGGCTGGTCTACATCAATGGGTGAGGGCTGGTCTCTTGTGGTTGATAATATGGTTATAATGGTTTGATAATATGGCATAATGGTTTGATAATATAGTTATAATAGTTTGATAATATGGTTATAATGGTTTGATAATATGGTTATAATGGTTTGATAATATGCTTATAATGGTTTGATAATATGGTTATAATGGCTTGATAATATGGTTATAATGGTTTGATAATATTATATAATGGTTTGATAATATAGTTATAATAGTTTGAAAATATTGTTATAATGGTTTGATAATATGGTTATAATGGTTTGATAATATGGTTATAATGGTTTGATAATATGGTTATAATGGTTTGATAACATGGTTATAATAGTTTGTTATTATGATTCGCGGTGTGCAATATGGTTTTTATGGTTAGTGGTTTGCATTATGGTCATTATGGTTTATGGTTTGAACAATGGTTATAATGGTTTTTGGTTAGCACTATGGTTGTTAAAGTTTGCGAATTTGGTTTGTGCATGAAGAATTTTTATTGATTTACACTTATTTTGTTGTATATTTTATTTATTGATTGTCTGTCACCAGGCCAGTTTGCAGTGCGTTTTTCTCTTCTTAATTACGTATGCATAGTTTGATTTCTAAATACTTGACCGAATTCCTCCTATTTTATTTAGATTAAGTTTTGAAGCCCTGACCCAATGTTTTAGTAATTGAATGTTACTAAACAAGTGACGACATAATGCCGTGCTTTCAAAACTTACTAGATGTAACTTCAAAAGAACACAAAGCGTGCTATGTACATGTAGCGGCATATTTCTCGTTTATGATTGGTGGGTTCAGCTTGAAAAGCCGTCAGTGATTGGCTAACGGAATTGCGTTAGAATAGAATAGAATAGAAGTGTCGGCGTTGAAGAAATAGGCCCATGGCCTGTTGCCGATTCTTATTGTGAATATTTCTATTCTATTTTGCCGTTATTGTGAACATTTCTATTCTATTTTGCCGTTATTGTGAATATTTCTATTCTATTTTGCCGTTATTGTGAATATTTCTATTCTATTTTGCCGTTATTGTGAATATTTCTAATGTATGAATCCTGGTTCCCCTCCAGGTATGACCATCCGCACATACTGGCGGGTCAGGGCACCATGGGGCTGGAGATCGTGGAGCAGGTGCCCAATATTGACGCGGTGGTGGTGCCCGTGGGGGGAGGAGGGCTTATCGCGGGGGTTGCCTTAGCAGTAAAAGCGCTCTACCCGCACGTACAAGTTATCGTGAGTAAAATAGTAAATTGATAACATATGGCCGTTACAAATTTTCATTTTAGATTCCTTTTAAAAAGTTAATTTTTCATTAAAACTAACCGACATTCGCACGCCCAGAAATGTGAGTGAATCAAAATAAAGGGTTATTTTTTCAATTGATCGATCAATGACCTCATTTATTTTTCCTGATATTATTTGACAGTAATAAATTTTCCTTTAACATTCCTTTAAAAACTTTATTTTTATTAAAACCAACCGACATTCGCATGCCTAAACATATGAGTGAATCAAAACAACAGTTAATTTTTTCATATTATCGACCCATGATCTCATTTAATTTTCCGCTTTTATCTTTCTTCGGATCAAAAAATCAATGTATAAGAAATATCTTTAATTGATGCATGCACTTGAAAAAATATTTAATTTTTTTCTGAAATAGTCAATTTATTCTCGACCGCGGCAGGGCGTGGAGAGCGAGAACTGCGCCTCCTTCAGCGCCGCCCTCAGGACCGGAGCGCCGGTCTACACCAAACCGGAGTCCACCCTCGCGGACGGTCTAGCGGTGCCCATGGTGGGGGTGAACGCCTTCGCTACGGCCGCCCCTCTCGTGGATAATATTATATTATATTATATTATATTATATTATATTATATTATATTACATTATATAATATTATATGACATCATACTTTATTATATTATAGAAATATTTCCTCCCAACATAGAGATAAATGAATACATTTTTCGACACCGGTAGGCAAAAGTTTGCATTAACGAAAAAGTTTTCTTAGGAATGTGAAAACTCTTTTTCAAACTAATAATGAACTGGCCCAGCTTTTCTCTCTTTGTTCTAATAATCTGCCATCAATGTTATTGTGATGAATTATTCGATGCATGGCTCACAATGCAATGAAAGTGCAGGGCTTTTCCATTTATTCTCACATCCACCTTTTAATCATTGATTTTGACCGTTTATGTTTACATTTTCTTTTTAACAATTGATTTTTACCGCTTCTGTTTACATCCAATTTTTCAACATTGATTTTAATCATTAATGTTTACATCCACTTTTTAACTATTGTTAGGTGGTGACTGTGAGGGAGGAGTGGATCGCTATCGCAATATTGCGGCTGGTGGAGCAAGAAAAAGCTGTGGTGGAAGGAGCTGGAGCTACGGCACTCGCCGCCATCTTGGCTGGTGAACTTCCAGAGCTCAAAGGCAAAAGGTAATGCAAAAATTACTAGAAACAAATTAGAAAAGTATTTTAGCAATGAAATAACGAAATATTTCGAAATTCATTTCATTAATTCATTTTTTTTAATTTTCATTAAACTCATAAGAAGTTTTCAATAAAACTGGCAGTATTTTTGACCAAACATGTCTAAATGAAGGGCTCTACCCTAAATATACAAATTCATTTTCATAAACATATTATGTTTGAGCTTTAATTCTTTACTGATGTTGTTAATATTTTGTCATTTTCCTGTTATTGTAGAGTTATTCATTAAAGTATTGAGAGTGGTAACGTTTCTATGAATCACTTAGAGGTACAGCACTGGCTCCACTCACCAGGTACCACCACTTACCATCAACCAATGCCACTCACTAGCAAAAAATATAGACTTATAATTTATATTAATGTGCAATATATCATGTTCAGGGTAGTAATACCTTTGTGTGGTGGCAACATCGACACTACGGTGCTGGGGCGCTGTCTGGAGCGTGGCCTGGCGGCGGATGGAAGGCTGGTCAAATTCACGGTTACCGTCAGCGATAGACCCGGAGGTTCGTCTGTCTACTTTGTTAAATTTTAACCGTACTATTATATGACACTTATGTATAAAATAAAATCGTAGGCGTCCATAGAATAACCGTAATTAGTGTTTATTTTAGACACATTTGAACAGGAGTAATATACACGTTACTGATTCTCAGATAATTCTACGGATTTTGCAACCAACATTTAAGTATCATTTTATGGTTAAATGTTACTAGTTTTTCACAAATGAACGCGACATAATTTCAGTCTTAAAATCACACATAAAAAGTCATTTTGAAATGCAGGTTCGGCAAAGAAATGATTTAACTATTTATTGATTTTAATTATATATTTTTAGTGCTATTTACTATTATATATTACTTGTATCATTTTATGCTACAGTTCCTGTGCAATTTGCTACTCAGTTTCTCGGTAATTCGTCATTGATCTGAAGTTGATAAGAATAATTCAGATGTTTATTTTACAACTCAATGGTTTTTCTTGGACATTTTTAAATGTGTATTTTAGAGTTTTGGTAAATGCTATGTTATATCGGTGAATGATTTAAAAGAAAAAAATTGAAAACAATGTAGAATTACACTAAATCATTGTTTGCAGGCACATCTACAATCATTTAGCTGACTTTCAACGCCTGTCAATCCTTTTATGGTGGTTTCTTTGTCATTTTGTAGCGCGTGATATAACTATTCTTAATAAATTTGCAATGGTTGTCTCAAATTCAAGTCTATGATATTTGTTTGTAGTCAACAATTTTTTTTTGTTCTAGAATAGAAATACTCAAAACGACAATGAACGAGCCAACTATGTCCAAATGTGCTAGTCAATCCTGTGGATAATAATTCGATTATTCATGCATAATAATTAATATCGTGTTTAAAATTTCACCATTGCATATGATCATCTAACATCTGAATATGAGGGAAATGAAAAAATTCTTATCATTCATTACTAAACAGCATAGCCTAGCGTAAATTCGGATAATTTATATTTATTGATAGGATGAAATAATTATACGACAGGGCACTTCAGGCTCAGGGCAATTTAATCCAATCACTAATTTCAATTTAATGTACAAGCTAGTAAACGAATAAACCAGGATTTTTAATATATGAATTCATTAGTGTAACGGAGGACAATGATAATTTACTCAATAATATTTGTACGCCAGCGAATAATTTCATTTCAATTTATAAAAAAGTAAACGAATAATTCATTAGTGGAGCGAGCACAAATCCAATATACTCATTATCATTCATCTATATAGACAAACGAGTAATTTTAGTTAAATTTATTAATTATTATACAATAAATTTGAAATTTACTCACTCCAGGCATCGCTGAACTGACCCGCCTCATGGCCAGCCTCGGCGTATCCATCAAAGACATGACGCACGAGCGAGCCTGGATCAGGAGCGACATATTCTCTGTCGAGGTAACTTCAAACATGAATAATTCTATATGCATGAATATACGAATAATTATAGCTTTTCACAAGCATATACAAATAATTCTAGCCTTTCACAAGCATATACGAATAATTCTAGCCTTTCACAAGCATATACGAATAATTCTAGCGTTTTACAAGCATATACGAATACTTATAGCCTTTCACAAGCATATACGAATAGTTCCAGCCTTTCACAAACATATACAAATAATTCCAGCCTTTCACAAGCATATACGAATAATTCTAGCCTTTCACAAGCATATACGAATAATTCTAGCCTTTCACAAGCATATACGAAAAATTCCAGCCTTTCACAAGCATATACGTATAATTCTAGCATTTCCCATGCATATACGAACAATTCTAGCCTTTCACAAGTATATACGAATAATTAAAGACATTCACAAGCATATACGAATAATTCCAGCCTTTCACGAGTAAATACAAATAATTCTAGCCTTTCACAAGCATATACGAATAATTCTAGCCTTTCACATGAATATACGAACAATTCTAGCGTTTCACGAAAAACTTGCAACATTTCACGGGCTAAAAAAAGCAATAGACTTTTTCTAACAGCTTACACGCTGAAACAAATTGCAGCAAATACTTGTTAGCCTTTCAAAGTCTAATTAACTTTTCCTCCCGTCGTAGCCATTTATTTTTCATTCCGAAATGCTTCCTAAATCACACTTTTTCATGTGTCGGTGAGTCATTTTTTCACTTTAAGAAATACGAGTAATATACTTCTTTGTCTGATTTATGTTCGGCTCTGTCGATGTTTATTTTTAATTATTTATTATTGGAAGAAAACTATTTCTAAATTTTTTAAAGCTGTGCAGGAATTTTTTAATTTATCTTGGATTACTGATAGGTTATTTGTTCGGGAAGGGTTTAATTGAAAAAAAATTGAAAGCCTCGTTGACAAGAGACTACTTGACATCATCTTCGATATTTTCAAGAACACAAATAGAGACAAGACAACAGATGTATAGGAGAACTTCCACTATATTAAAATGGGGTTAACCATTATGTTCAGTGATAGGGATGAATGTGTAAGTACGATGACAAGCAATAAATATCAAAGGAAAATTTTTGAGAGGATAATCTATTGAGCAAAAATGCAGGGGTTGAAATGTCTGTAAAATAAGGAGGACGAAATATAGGTGAAGAATATTGTGTTAAATATTTTTTAAATAAATAGGTTTAATTGTAACGGTAAAGGTTAAAAAGATTTAAAAGGTTAACATACGTGTGCCTGTCCAGGTAAAGGCGCTCGCCGAGACTCGTGACAGAGAACACAGCCTACAGCTACAGGCTGCCCTGCAGCAACGATATTCTAAACTTCGATTCGTTCTAGGCCATTCTTAAATAACACTTAAATAACATAATAACACTAAATACTCACAAAACACGCATTAAATCTCCATTGTAACGATTATTTCTAAGAAACATTATTCTAAACTTCAATTCTTTCTAGGCCATTCTTAAATAACACTTAAATATCATCATAACTCTAAATACTCACAAAACACGCATTAAATCTCAATTATAACGATTATTTATAAGAAACATGATAAACTACGATTCGTTCTAGGACATTCGTAACTAACATAAAACGATGTCAAAACTATCATCAATGAAACGATTAGTTATAACAAATATTAAAAGTCACGACGCAGAACCACAACAAATCGTAGCTATCGATTATAGCGATTACTGACAGTAATCAAAACTGCTACATGACGCGGATCGTAGACTTTCATTGATATAAGAAGGTGGAGGATTGAGGACCATCCTATTAGTTTACTAATCAATTTATTCGTGGTTAAACCGAAAAGCATTTTGTTCCTCACAAAAGAAGCATTTTGTGAGGAATGGCATTACGCAATGAGTGTCAGCTGATGTTAATGACGAAGGTCTAATGAATGTCATATTATTAATTACAATATTATTGCGGTCAAAACAATGTCATTATGAGCACACACAATGTTCAAAAGTGGAAATATTGCCATCAGAAATAATGACAGGTATTAGCGTTAACGTTTAAGAAAAATTGTTTGTTCATATAAAAAATTTGATTTTGCAGTGAAAACCGTAACCTTCATTAAAACACAAGAAATAGCAGGGATAACCGTGACCAAAGGTTACACGATGTTCATGAATTCTCAAGATAACTAGCATTCATGTTGTTTCATTTTAGCCGGTAAAATATAAAATAAAATAAAGCAATTTAGCATTTCAGGGATATAGGCTGAACAGAAGCATCAGTAGCGTAGCCACATGGAGCTTCGCGTAGATAAGCTATCTATTATGAGTATTTATACAAGAACAAACGAGTATCCATGCAATAGCTACTAAATAGAAGTATAAGATCTGAGAAATAGCCATACAGTGCAAGCGAGTAGACATAAAGTGCAACCATGACGAGTATCCATACAATAGCTAATAAATAACTGTATCAGATCTGAGAAATATCCATACAGTGCGAGCGAGTAGCTATATAAAAGCAGACTATAGCAGCCATCATGGATATTAGTGAAACTATACAATGGTACGTTGGGGTGAATCAGAGTGAGGCTATTGGAACAATAGCAGATTAAGCGGCTATACGGTCAATACCACCAGCACATTCCCTCTATATGTAATTCATTTGAAATTGTATGCAGTTCTTTTAAGTTTAAATTGTCAATTTTTGAAACTGTGAAGCAAGCTTATCTTCAAACATCTGATGCTGAATCGATGCTGAAATAAATTTTTTACCGTTCCCATCATACATACCAGACTCTGTATAAAGTTATAAGTTTGAGTCCAGTTTTGGATCATTGAGAACACGCACAGCATTTCATATCCCAACTGGCAAAAATATTATAAAATTTGTACTTCAATAGATAGGATACTTTATATCCATTAATTCGGGAGATTCGTAAACGTAACTCCTAGATTAATTTTGGGTTAAGGAATTTATTAGGAATTATAGAAATAATTAATATCTAAGAACTGATCGTACCGTCCTAGATTTATCGACCTGTTTGTTATGTGCGTGGATTACCGTACTTCGTATCCTTTTTAGCGCATTTTCTCATTTATGGAAAAAATACACTATTGTGCTCGCCATGTCCGTCCGTCCGTCTGTCTGTCTGTCTGTCCGTCTGTCTGTCCGTCAGTCCGTAACCTCAAGTTTTCGTCGACGAGAAAATGCGCTCTCTGTCACTCACTGCAGTGAGTACTGAGTTATATTTTTTAATTCATGATTTAGCGCTGCAGATTTCGAATAGAATTGCAATCTATGAACTGCAGATGGACGCCAGAAGATCACGAGTGTAAAATGGGAAGAAACGGTAAATGAATGTTGTTGTGGTAGTGGTTATATAGTGTGCTCAGCATTCCCTCTATAATTTCCGAAAACTTTAGACGATAGTGAGGTACCATTAAAATCATAAATTTTGGGTAATATTTTTTTTATTTTTTTTTATAGAATTTATGCAGCGATGGATGCATATAGGCGTTCACATGCGTTTCCCAGGCCGTGTTTGTTAGTACATTTTTTTATGCTAGCGTCTTCTGCACGTTAATAGTTTCTTATTTAGAATCCGCATGAAAATCTTTTTAGAGTTTTTAGTTGTTGCTACTATCATGTTTTGACATTATTGCCATGTGTTTCTATAGCTAGTGAAAAATTTAATGTTATCTCATTCACAATATTCATAGCCATGAGTGACATTGAAAAGTGAATGTGTTCAGGTTACTACTATGTTTGATCCTGTTTACCAAGAGTAACTGAGTCTCTCCTCTTGTAGGTGAAGGTATTCACAATCATTCCCAAGATTAGATAAATTTTCGCAATCATTACCGTGAGTAGGTATTCACCATCATTACCTAGAGTTACCGTGACCTACTCCTGCCGGTGAAAGTATTCACCATCATTACCATGTTTAGATTATTCATATACATTGCCATGAGTGACCAGGAACTGTTGCCGCAGGTGAAACATGATTATATATTCACCATCATTACCCAGAGTAACCATGACTCACTGCTGCATATGAATCATGATTATGTATTCACCATCATTACCCAGAGTAACCATGACTCACTGCTGCATGTGACAAGTGATTATGTATTCACCATCATTACCCAGAGTAACCATGATTCACTGCTGCATGTGACAAATGATTATGTATTCAACATCATTACCCGAAGTAACCATGCCCTCACTATTACAGGTGAAGGTGATGTGCGAGACACGTGACCACGAGCATTACCTGCAGCTGCAGGCGGAGCTCGAGAAGCGATACAAGATCATCCGCTTTGCCGTCCCTGACATCGTCCACGCCGAGAGTGATCTCTGATCCAGCGAGATACTGTCTCTGATCTCTAATCCAGCGATCTACTATCTCTGATCTCTGATCCAGCGAGATACTGTCTCTGATCTCTAATCCAGCGATCTACTATCTCTGATCTCTGATCCAGCGAGATACTGTCTCTGATCTCTCGATCTGCTGGAGTATCTGATTAATCGATCTGATGGGGTCACTGATCCCTCAATCTGCTTAGGTCTCTGATTCCTCGATCTTTTGAGATTTTTGATCTCTCGATCTGCTGAGATTTTCGATCCCTCGATATGCTGAGATTTTCGATCCCTCGATCTGCTGAAGTCTCTGATCTCTCGATCTGCTGAGATCTTTTATCCCTTGACAATCTTATATCGTGCCAGTTCAATTATTTGCTATGTAATCCCCTTGCACAATTATGCGCAGTTATTCCTCGGGAAAAATTCTCGATTGGCGTGTATACGTTAATTAAATAAATTCGCTGTATAATGCACGCTAAAGGCATTGCATCATATACATAAAATGCACTGTATCATACGCGTTAAATGAACTGTATCATTTAGATGTACAAATTGTATTCGATATGAATAATTAGGTAATAGCTCTAAATGGGGTGTGTAGGTAAGTTGCAATTAAAATGTTTGGTCATTTACTGTCTACGTTGCATGTGATATTTGGCCCATTTTGAAATTATCATGATTAATACGTATGAATTCACTATTCAGTAGTATGTGAATATTATTTCATATTACTTTATATTACTCAATAGCTTACCTAGACATTAACCATAATTAATGACTGTATAATCACCACACAGTACCATCACAACTCCCCTAACAAGAGTTACTGTAATTGCTTAATTATAATATGAAAATTTCTGAGAGGGAAAATATTTTCTTCTTTGATGACGCTATGTCTATGGACAAAATGAAGGATGTTTAATTAAAATGAGTAATTTGAAACAAAATAAGGAATTTAGAAATTAAAAACATCTATGTATTGTTTCTGTGTTGTATCAATTAGATATACAATATGTATATACAAAATGAAATAAAGAGATTAGATAAACTTCATGCATTCACCTACGCCGATGGAGCATAGAATTAATAAATAATACAATAACTTCTTATTTTTAATCTCCAAAATCATATATTAGTTTATTTATTGTCGCTTCAAGATGGCTGTGGTTTTTGTGCCGCTGCTTTAGATAAAACATTTCATAAAAACAGCTGAGCTCGTTCTAGATAGGTTAAATAACATTGACCACGTTTCAAGAACGCTCACCACGTATTAAGAATGCTGATCTCGAGTTTATAGAACATTGATTTCAAGTGTAGAAAGTTGACCTAAGGTCTAGAACGCGGACATTCTATCCAGAACGCTAATATCGTGCCTAAAATATGGATCTCGTATCTAGAACGCTAACCTCGTATGAAAAACCTCGATCTCGATCCAGAACGCTGAAATCGGGTCTAGAACGCTGACCTCGTATGAAAAACCTCGATCTCGATCTAGAACGCTGAACTCGGGTCTAGAACGCTGACCTCGTATGAAAAATCTCGATCTCGATCTAGAACGCTGAACTCGGGTCTAGAACGCTGACCTCGTATGAAAAATCTCGATCTCGATCCAGAACGCTGAACGCGGGTCTAGTCCTTGGGTCTAAAGTGTGGACCTCGTTTAGATAACTTGATTCATGATGAATAGTACGAGTGTTGGAATCAATAAATGCTCAAGCCAAGGTTGGTATTCTGTAACAACGTTTATTGACAAAGGTTTTTCTTACAAATCATTCATTTAATTCATATATTTGCTCAAAAACTAACAGAAATGGTAACGTTAAGCAAGTGATTATTTTCCTGCCATTGACCACACAAAACTATTATTTAAAAGACTATGATCGTTTGTAATTTAGTAAATTTTGGATGTGATCGTTATAAAAAATTTTCAATTGTTATAAAAATTCTAGTGCGACTCAAATATTTTAATTAAAAGCTTTCAAAAGCCGCGAACATATTTAAGGATTAGGTGAAATTACTTACATTTAATTTATTTGTCAATTTATGAGAAAAATTACTTTTCAAATACTCTTCTAATCTTACCGTCGTTATTACTATTTTAAAAGCGAGGAACAAAAAACTAAACTTAACAAATACAAATTTTCCGCATGTTTGAACTGATAAACAATGAATTTATTGGATATAATTCATTAAACTAATTTATCTCTTATCAGGAGTGAGTTAATTCATCTCTTCTGCAGACTGGATTCGACTGTGAATTTTACACTGCTGCCACGTGACCGAACATTCCTCGCCTGCTATTAATTCCTTGCATTCTTGCATTATACAAACAAAAAATCAATACGTAGACGATTTAGTTTCGGTTAAAATATCGAAACAAATCGTTGGCGATTAAGTTTCACTTTAAACAATGAAATGATTTAAGGACGATTTACTTTGTGTTAGATGTTATAAACAAGGTGAGAAATATATTTGCTACACTAAAGACATCGAAAAAATATATGAATGATCTAATTTCATTTAAGGTGATTGATCGTTGATATCTCCAGCTTGGTGATTCTTATGAGGGATAAAACCTTTATAACCTTTCCCATACGATTAACTTCATTTGAAAAATTAACAATTGAGGACATTTTTTAATCTTTTTCTCTTAACTTTCTCGATTAAGAGTCTTTTTTCTCGAAACCAAAATCCCCGAAGGATTCGAAATCAATATTGGGTGTTCTGAGGCCCTCAAAATGAGAAGGCAAGAAATGTTCATCTGACATGGCCTTCTTAGAATCACTTTGCAGGATTCCAGAAGGGTTAGGGATTTTAGAATTTGATGAGGATGGTTTCTCGGATTTACTCCTACGATACTCAGGTATGTCTCTACCGATTATACTTAAGAGCTCCTTATCCTCCACTGGCGCTGAGAGCAAAGCTTTTTTAATTGCGGATCTCCCACTGGCACCCACAGGTTTGTCACTGAAAATGTTATCGTAAGAATGGTAATTACTTTTTACTGCGCTTTGTTCAGTCGTGACAACATGTACTTTACCAGCGTCATGAACATCGGAGCCTGTTTTTTCATGTCTTTCCTTTGGTTCTTCATTGTTTTCTGATGTTTTGACTCGTTTTCGTACTTCTTCAACGCTTTCAGACTCATCCGCTTTTTTACGTTTTCTACTATCTTTATCTGTGTGTTCTCCTTCCGAATTATCCGTATGTCTGCTTCTCTGAACAGTTTTTGCATATTGTACTTTATCCGTTGGATTTTTTACCACTTTTACCGTCCCAGAATCTGTATTTTCTTTCCTTGTTGATTCCTCATCTGCACTTGAGTTTTCTTCCTCTACATCACTTGATTTTTCATTTACATTTCCTTCTTCTTGTTGACTGCCGTCATCGCTGTCTGATTCAACGGTTGATGCAGTGCTAGAGCTGTTCTCTGTTGACTTCCTATTCCTTTCTTCTTGATTCGAGGCCGCAAGCGGAGGTTGAACCAACTGTTGCTGTTGTTTCAGAATCTGTTTTTGTTGCTCCAACAAATGTTGATGGTGAAGTTGCTGTTGCTGCAACTGCAGCTGCTTTTGTTGAAGCAGATGTTGTTTGAGTCGAATGAGATGCTGTTTCCGACGTAGCTCATGTTGCTTCCTCTTCAAGTCTTCTTGTGTCAGGTCGGGGGCATTTGTTACTACAGTGGTCGTCACAACTTCAATTATTGGCGTTTCTTCAATTTTCACTGGCGATGGTTTTTGAGATAAGATTTCGTGGTTTTCTGTTTGCTGAGTAGGTGGTGCATCGGTCTGGACTTCAACCATGGGGTTTTCACTTGTACTTAAAATAAAAACACTCAACCCAGAATCTGGTGGAGTAAACGTGGTTGTAGAGTGGCTGCTGGATTCAGTGTTTGAGTTCTGCAGAGTATCTGGTTGCGTATATGAATCTTTCTTGATTTGTACTTCTTTTGTGTTGCTTCCTAAAGCAATTTTTTTCTCTTCAGGCGTCGTTCCATTTACCTTCTGAGTCGCCTGAAATCCGTAGCGAAAAACTTCAATCTTCTTCCCATCTTTCGTAACCCCTTTGGAATGGAACGGTAAAGAATTTATCTGAACGTTTTCACTCTTCCTCTTTAGTGGCTTGATTCTTTGACCAAACTTCAAGCTTTCATCCTGCAAAAGAATTTTATTATCTTCGATTTTCTGCCCGACAATCGCTACTTCTGATACTACAACTTTAAGTTCCACCTTACCAGTAGTGGTAGGAGTTTCAGGCGTCAATGTAACCACTTCTGCAGACTCCTTTTTGGATTCAGCTTTCACTTCTGACTTTTCTTTCACAACTTCATTGTTTTTCTTCTTCGTTAAATCTACTTCGCTAGAGCTACTCAACTTTCCTTTCTGTTTCAATTCCGCTTTGACCGGCTTTTTAGCAATCGATTCATCTTTTTTATTGCGTGTAATGAAGTTAATATGTTTCGGTTTTTTCGAGGATGGAATCTTATGCAGAATTTTTGATCCATGCCCAGTATTTTTCACATCAACAGTATTTACTTTTTTATATTTTTTGCTTGGTTTCTTGTCGTTTTTGATTTTTTTAGAAGTGAATGTTTTAGTTGGCTTGCTTGTTTTGGAAGGTCGTTGGTAAACAATAATATGTGGACTTGGGAGCTGCCCTGGACCTTCATCATTATTATATTTGTGTCTTGGCGGGAAATGAGGCACTGCTACGACACCATCATGATCATCATCATCCTCACTATTATGTTTCTGACCACCATCAGCATCATCATGATTAAGCTCACTTCCAGTTCTCAGCTCCAACTCTTTCTGCCAAGGCTGGATGATAGAGTGAGCGCCGTGGTAAAGACCATTCAACTTATGTCGACCATCATCATCTTTATTTTCGGCCTCTTTGGTGTCCTTCTTACCGTATTTTTTCTCATGGTTGTACTTATCCTCTTGTCCATAGTGTCGAACCTGGCCCTTCTCGTCTCGATGGTCATGACCTTTTTTGTAGTGTCCACTCTTTCCAAATTTGTCGCGTTGCTTCTCGTTCTGAACAATAAACAGAAAATTTGTTATTTTCTACTGTTATGCTCTTATATATCGTAGAGTCACGCAAAAAAAAAAATACAAATGAAATTTTCTTATAATATTTATTTTAGACTGATCAGTTATTGCAGTGTTAAATAATTTACTTCACGAATGGGTGAATTCTATAAATGTTTCATAGAAATTGATTATTTGAAATACTATAGTACTTTGATATACTAAACAATAGTTCTATCGTACCATAGAACTTCAGCCTAACTTTGATCTGCAGGTTCAGTCATTTAGAGTGCCAGGCTTATAACACACAAATACTCCAAAAAGTACTAGAACTATCTAAATTATACACTTAAAATTTGAAGTGTTCCTTAAAACAATATCATCACCACCCACATCTACCCCTTTAAAATTGAAGTTTTCTATAGAGTTTTTCCGTAATCTCTCGCAATTTCGGCCTTAAATTTGGAGCATTCACTAGAATTTTTCCCTCGTCCTACTCGCTTCCCTAAAATCCGCCCATAAATTCTAAAAAAATTTGGTTTTCTCTAGAAGTCCACCCTCGCCGCCTCAAATAAATCTCAAAAATGTAAAGTTTTCTCTAGAATTACAACCTTACATCCGTCCGTGAATCCCAAAAATTTAAAGTTCTCTCTAGAAGTTCACTCAAATCTCCGCCCATAAATCTCGTAAGTTTAGAGTATTCTCTAGAATTACACCTCCACCTCAACCCATAAATTTAAGGAGTTCTCTAAAGGTTCGCCCTCATCTCCGATCATAAATCCTAAAAATCCAAGAAGTTCTCTGGAAGTTCAACCTCATCTCCGCTCGTAAATCATAAAATCCATGGAGTTCTCTAGAAGTTCACCCTCATCTCCGCTCATAAATCCAAAAATCCATGGAGTTATCTAAAGGTTCACCCTCATCTCCACTCATAAATCCTAAAATCCATGGAGTTCTCTAGAAGTTCACTCTCATCTCCGCTCATAAATCCTAAAATCCATGGAGTTCTATAGAAGTTCACCCTCATCTCCGTTTATAAATTCTAAAAATCCAAGGAATTCTTTATAATTCCCTCCTTACCTTGAACTGCGCGCCCTTATGTCGGCCGGCGTCGAGCTTTTCCTTGAATTTCTCTGCGTTGTTGAAGCGGTGATGGTAGTTGATGTGGTCAACCTCATCGAAAAATTCACGACTCCGACCATTTTTCTCTACCACAAAAGATTCATGGAAGCCCTGGACAAAAATATGTGTGAGAATATTATCATTTCAATTTGTCGGGTTCGATTTAAGTATTATATGGCTTAACGTATTCAAACAAACATTTGTGTAATTAAAACTAAAAAAGACATCAGCTTCATTGAAAGGGAAGCATCATATCTTTATCCGTATAAAGAGTTCTTGCCTATTTAACGATTTTGGTAGTGAGAAAATCTGAATTTATATTAATCCCGATATTATTAGAAAAAAATAAAACAAAGTTTAAAATAATCATACATATAATTCATTTGAATCCTTCGAAACAATCGCAAAAGAAACTTCATTTATACTTGTACACTTTAATTTAGTTACCCTGAAAATTTAATGATAGGATTACTTCCAAATCGAATTCAGCTAACCAAGAGATTTTCCAGAGACAGAAGCATTGCAAATCAATTTAGTTAACTTTGAAGTTTGCAATTGAAGCTTTCCAGAGGGAATAACAATAAAGACCTAATCAGTTAACAGTAATTATAGAGAAAATGGCATTAAGTTGACCTAAAAACTTCTTGATGACACGCATTAGAAACTAATTAATTTAACCTAGTTATTTCTCTTCTGAATATTGATTGAATTGACCTTGAAGTCCTTGTCTTTCTCAGCCTGGTGGGCGCTGTGATGCTCAGGCGCGCTACCGCTCTTCTTGTAGTAGCCCTGCGTGCAAAATACATTGAATGACTCGGGTTCCATACATAATATACAGTTCAATTCATTATATATACTATTCATAATATAGACCATTCAAAATATATAGTATTATAGTATTCATAATATATACTATTCATAATATTTTAATAAACTTCAGCATCCATGGAAAGAGATCAGAATGTCATAATTTCAGAATCTTTCGAAACATGGAAACCAAAGAAAGAAAAATCAGTTTCAAATTCGATTCACAAGTCAATGATCGCACTGCAGAGCCAACCGCATGCGATCTGTACTGCAACACAATAGCTACGAGCTCATCACAATAGGCTCAAATATTTCCAATTCTTTTGCCAAATTCCATAAGATGTTCCCAGTATTGTTGCCGGGTTCAGTCGTGCATCCAGTTTTGCGTAACGTGCCATCCTCGACGTAAGCGTTCAGTCGTGTTGCAAAAAAACGTTGCGCGCGACCGATACCGTGAGAAGAAGCGTAACTTTGTATTGCGCTCGGGTTCTCCTTCAGTTGACACAAGCTAACATTTCCTGCCATGTAATGTCTTTGTAATGTCACATGTAATTGCATTTCCTCCTATGTAATGTCTTCGCCAACACACACCGACTCCGTAAATTGCGTGATCAATTAGGAAGTGTTTATTATAGTGTGGCTTCTAGTTAATTATTAACAAAACCAGGCTTTAATTTTGATACACGTAAACAACAGAAACAGTGCGAGTACCAAGAATTATATTTTGAATTACTATTGTGATATCTTTCCGAATTAAAGTTATTCGCACCTGAACTTTGCATTCAGTTATTCGCACCTGAATGCAAAATAAATTATAGCAATTAACTATACAATCATGCATTAATTAACTGGATTTTATTCCGGGAATGAGAGTAATTTATTTTACTGATCCATATCTTGTTCGTATAAGCAAACAAGATATGAACAACGGCAAATTATCTTATTTTTAAAAATCTTTTCATTACTCGCTACTTTACTAGTTTTTCACATTCATTTTAGACTTAAAAAATAACAAATAAATATTCCATTACTTATTTATGCATTTATAATTTTTTAAAGTAAATTGCTGAAACTATTGAATATAATTAACATTTCGATTAATATTGTAATTCAAAGCAGGAGATAATTTTATAAAAAATTGAAGTTAATTTATGATCTATGATGAATTTAAAAAATTAAATTCATTGTTATTAATTTATGATTCATTTAAAATTTTTGCAAAAAATCAACTTAACGAATGTCAGAACCGAACATAAGTTTGAGTTTTATATTATATTTAGTTGCAGCAAAAGAAATATAACGGCAATCTCAATTCACAGGAATTATTATTTTCTAGCAACGCCTGATTAACGCGCTAGTTGAATATAACCGTAAATACAATTCTTATTAACAGGCCCTTCAATTTCATTAGCAAATATCCACCACTGTTAAACCTTTACTTAATTTACCTAAAGTACGATTGCGCTTTTAATACTGTTTCAGAATAATCTTGAAATTATTTTATTACATTTATTGTTTAATTTGACAATTATTTGTCAGTCTACCTTATTACAGTATTTCTGATAGATATTTTACAGCATCGGATATTGTGTGTTTGCGACGCTAGCATTTCTTACGAATGCGCACTTATGTATCTTTCGCCCATCATTTCCATGCATTTTTGTGGAATTTTCTCAGTGTTCTTTCCGTCAAATTACAAAAGACTCCTCACATAAATTTACGCGAGATTCCAATAAACCGAGTTATTCATGGTTGATTCTGACTCACCCGTTGGTTGTCTTCAGCCCAGGCGCCCTCGCGAGTCTCAGTTCCACCTCGGTTTTTTATGACGCCTTTGCCGGATTTGTAGCCGTCACCCACCATGGGCCGAACCGGTTGAGCTTCGGGGTGAGCTGAGAAAATTTCTATTAGTACAAGAGGCAAGTAAACAGAAAACATAATTGAAGGGGATGAGGCGAATATAAGGCCATAAAAACCGTTAAAATGTTGGCTAAAATGGGTATTTACGCAGCATAAAAGTGATGGATAGAACATTCGATCAGCATTCATTATTGATCACGAAAAGTCTCAGTAAACAAGACTGCTCACTGAAACTTCGGTTAAACTAAATCAGCAAGAAATGCGTCGGTCAGAGAAAGACCGTCAATTAAAATTTAACAAATATGTGATTGAAATGTTAGGGGATTTTTTTATTTACTAAGAAGGCTGGAAATGACTCACCATTGGCAGATGGCTGATACTCGTCCACTGTCACGATCGCCACCTGTTGACTTGGAAGAGCCAATAAACTCGAAGTTGATTCTTCAGACAGCGACATTTTGGCTGACGAATCAACAGAGTTGTCTTCCATCATGATTGCTGAAGTGAGAGTCAGGTCATGAGATACCATGGGCCTGAAGTATCTGCGTCTTCGTACGTTGCTGGAATTAGATGAACCCTGTTCGTCATCTTGCTTTTTAGACGCGTCACTTCCAACACTGTGACGCCTTCTCCCGCGTGAGTTGGTTAAGATACCTTGGGATTCTTTCAGAGAATTAACGGAGTTTAAATTCGAGGTTCTCGAATAGTTGGTAGATGCAGGCATAGGTGATGCAATCACTCTTGCCACTCCTTCATCAGGATAATCGGCACCAAAAAGAGAGACCTTCCTACCGGCAGTGTACGCCCGAACTTTGTCAGTTGTCGTTATGGGCTGAGAAATCGTTGCCTGAGAGGGCAGTGCTGGTTTTTTAGTCACTATAAGGGGAGCCTCCACGACATTGGACTCGGTGGTCAAAGTGATGAGACTGGATATGGGGGAGAGGGCCTGGACTATGTTAGAGTTTCGCCCTACCACTTTTTCCACTGTCGCCGTTCCCGCTTTCACAATAATGCCACTGTGAGGAAATGATCCACGTCTTTTGAATTTTCTGACACTTTTTTCGCTGTTACTGGGATTGGCCGTACTTTCAATCTTGATGTCAATTATGGGTGCTTTCGATACTCGCTGGTGGGGCCTAAGATTAGAATTGTTTTCAATTTGCTGTGTTTTGCGATTCTCTGTGGAGTTAGCTTTATTAATCATGCCATCGACTCTTCCATATTCATTTTCGTTTCGAATAACCATTATAATTTTTCCAACAGAGTCTTTATCGTGAGTGGGCGCTGTTTCGACAAATTTTTGTACTGGAGGCATTGTTGGTGGTGCATCGGGACGGTCGGCTGATATCGACGGTTCCAATCTCGGTCGGGTATCTACACCTACATCTTTTCCAGTTTCAGCATCAGGTTTTGATTCCGTTTTCGTATCTTTATGTTTTCTGCGAAACTTTTTGGATCGTCGAGGCTTTTTCTGTAGCTCGGGCATTGAAGATGTTGATGGTACATTGCTTGAAGCTTCTACCTTTTGAAACTTTTCACTTGCCGTTACATTCTTATTTGTGTCATTGGACTTCCTGAAACGTCGGGGTACAGAGGTCCTAGAACGTGGAGTAAAACGACGTCGGACTGTTGGAGCCGTGGTAGTTTCTGCGGGCAAGATAGTCGAAACATGAGTAGAAATTGTCGTTGGAATGGACGAGGTGTTGGGAACTGGTGCTTGTCTTGGCTTTGGAGGAATTTTGACAACATTTTTCAGGCGACTGGAAAGAGGGATGATCTTTCGTGAAATGCCTTCTTTTTGACCAGAGAGCCTCACGGAAGATTGTCTTGAACCGACTTCAGTGCCTTGAGTAACATTTTTTTGTTCGGCACCTCGTTCATTCACTGTTACTAGCTCTTGATAGTCCAGTTGCGAGTTTTTTTCCGCTGGAGCAGCAGTCAAATTTTGAACTTTTTCAACGTTGTCTTGCTTGGGTTTAGTCGTAGGGCGAAAATTGTTCCTACGTCTTGAAAAATTTGATTTGATTTGATACTTAGTCAAAGGATCAGGCTTTTTCAAAGAAGTGGTTATATTTTTAGGGCTTTCATTTAACGCTTTTGATACCATCTTCACTATAGTTTCATTCGAAGGAAAACTTTCCGTCACTTTGTAACTCGTGCTCACCGACGAAACTACCGTTTTAGTATCTATGGAATCACTTTTTATTCCATCGGTTGTATTCGTGAACTGAAAATCGAATTTTTCTCTGGTTTCACTACTGGAGTTTCCTGGCGGCAATTTATTTGCCCTTGTATGAGCAACTTTTTCATTAGCATCTATCTCTTGAAATAATACTGCAGTGTTTATCAAGTAGCTTTCATCTTTAGGGGCATTAATTTTTCTTGGTTCTTCGGTTGAGAATCTAACCCGAGGAAATCTTTTACGTCCATACAACTTTTCCCTTAGCTTCTTCTTATGCTCGTGGTCCCGCGCATGTGACCCCACTCGCTTCCCCTCTCTTCCGTTGGCTCTATCTAAACTTCCCTCTCGTTTTAGCTCAACATCAGTTTCAGAAATGAGGGCGCGAGGCATCGGTAACTCTTCACTCAATACATGTACGTCATCATTGGATTTTACGATTACAACAGTATTATTCAAGGCTTGAGTTTCAGTAGAATTTATCGGGGTGGGCGAGAGACCTGCACGAAGGGCACTCCACTTTAGGGCCAAGTCGGTCGACCGACGTCTGCCCGGTGCGGGTAAGAGGCGAGTAGCATTGCGTTGACCACTACAAAGGGCACCGCAACACAAGGCACACAAAACGGCCACCTGCAAACCGGTGAAAAATAATTTGATACATCCATTAGTTTACCGCTCAAAATAAATTTAGACAAATTTATTTGCGATTATGATAGTATATTCCGTATATAGTCAAATGACGAACATTAAATTTAAACCAAAGGATCTTTCTATTTAAACCAAAGGATCTCTCACAACAGTGTTTTTTTTCAACATTTGACTGTGCGCAAATCAGATCACTTTAACGGAAGTAAAACCGACTTCCATGTCAATTAAAACGAACCATAAGCCGAGGTCCCCTCATCTTCGAAGCTCGCCCTCCCTCAACTCACAGTTGCGAACAACTGACTGCGGTTCATCGCGCTCTGTACCTGCGTTTTAAAGCGTTGCATGGACTCGCGAACAAGTGAGAAACATTGGTCAAGCTGAGTTCGCGTTCTTAGAATATTTTACTTCCGTTATTTGTTAACTGCATTGCGTTTACGCGATCAAAATTTCATCTGTCCATCAGCACACACCGTGAAAATATCATTGTGTTCGCAATATATATGTTGGTACGAGTGAAATTGAATAAGTATTTTACATAAATTACGATAATTGCGGTGAGAAAATAGTCTGGCAGTTAATATAATATTTCATTCAATGCAAATCTTTCTGTGTCTTTAAATGAACATTAAAAAAAAAGATATACAATAGATATAGTAACATTTTCACGACGATTCGTATATTTTAAAATTACTCATCTATGAATATCAGTTCATTTGAACGATGATGGTGTCTTTACTGCATCAACATTAAATGTGTGGCCCCCTAGAATTACTCCGTAATTCAGTTTCAGTACATGATGAGTGATCGTCATCAGAGCTTCAGAGGACAGCTCAGAAGTCAGAACTTGCGCATTTTGTCCGACAGACGAACCTGCTTCAAGGACCCATTCGCACCTTTTTAGGCTTTTTACTGGACCCTTCTCGTGGCCTCTTGAAACCGAATATGGACTAATACTCATCTTCTACTAAAATGCCCTCTGCTACTGCAACCGAGACAACCAAAAGAGATGGGCAGTATTGGGCACCACTGCACAGAAAAAAGCTGGCCCTAGACAACTTTCATGCTTACCTACGCTACAGTCTACACATCTATGATCTCTTCTCAGTCTTCTAACTCTAAGATAAATTCCCTGCTGAAAACCTAGTGACCTACCTGTTCAAGACGAGCCTCATTGACTAGATTGACGTTTGACAAAATGACAAGCTCTAATAGATGGTCCCCATGCTCTGATCAAAGCACCAGATGCCTGGGAAATGGAAAGGTGGTTCTTAAAAAATGTAAGCTACTTTCAAGTTTTCAACAAGTGCTTCATGCCTGAAGCCTCAACGCCTTCAAGGAAAACTTCTGCTTGCAAGTTGCAACTTGCAACTGTCAACTGTGCGTGTCATAGTGACAAACCAGAGATTTTTTAGAATCAGTTCATTTTTAACTTCCTCATTTACCTAAGATTTAAACCAATTTCTTATGTATGATAAGGCTGGTATCCAGGATACTTTACTGGTCTACTTATGGGACTCAAAAATGAACTTGAAGCAGAGTCTAAAAAACTCTCTGCTTTGCCACTATGGTGCGTGTGCACTGGACTCAGTGACAGTGGACTGGAAAGTGGAAAGTGGAAACTTGTTTGGTATTGAGTATATTTGAGTTTATGCTACGGCCTATGCTTTATTGGACAGTTTGGACTAATATTTTAGACTTTTAGTTTTAGCTACCTTTGTACTTTGTTGGCACCTAGTATGGAATATATCTACTTGGCGAGCCAGCGAAGTGCAAACCGTGATTTTTTAATCAAACAAAAATTTATGACATTCGAGCCGCGAGATTTCATACCTACTGAAATTATATGATATTAGAGCCACTATATTTCAGACAAAAATAGGACTTTTCCAGACTAGGTTGGCACTTTTCATCTAAGTATCTACTGAATACCTAACCTAGGTACCTAAGTTCTTTGCATTCTTTGGTTGCTTGTCTTTTGACAAAATTGACATGAAAAAAGAAATATACCCTAAGCCTAAAATCCAGCTTATGAAAAATCTGGGGTCAGGTCAGGAATCAGGATGGCCAAATTCTATTTTAAATGGAAATAAAAATAATTTGAAATAATAATGATTTATTTTTATCTCAAAGTTTTTTCTCTACCAGTTTTTATAAATATTTTTACCTGATTAAGGCTGATTTCGCTAGAAAGGGAGATTATTCCAGGAACTAGCTGGACATAATGTGAGATTTTTCAAACACTGGTGACTGGTCTTCAGGACTCAGGAGTTCAGTTCAGGGTATACCGTAAACTGGGGTAACTTAGACCACTTTTTTTTTAAATGATGCCTTTTTTTACTAGATAATTTAAACTTAAATTGAAACATGTAAAATACAGGTCTATACTCTAGCTTCACTCGCCATAAATTGCTGGCTCCTGCCTCTCATAGTTTTGATGTAATTTAAAAAAAATCGATGGTCTTTTTTACCCCAGCTCTGGGGGTATCTTAGACTGTTTGGTAAAACTAAAATCAATTATATTTTTTGGTAAATAACTCCGGGTTTCGATGCATTGTAGTAGAACTCTTCTAGTTACATATGCAAATGACAAATTTGAGGAAAGTTTCATAGTTTGCAAATGGGGGGTCCTGCCCCCCAGGTGGTCTAAGTTCCCCCAAATGGGAGAACTCTGACTACCTAATGGCAGCCCTGACAGGGTTAACATAGACCGGCTTGGAAATTAAGTTAAATTACCATATATAAGACTCTGTAGAGTCTGAAACTTAAAGAAAAAACATTAATAGGTGTATCAAACATGAAATGTTATATATGGTAATTTTAAATTAATTTCCAAGCCGGTCTATGTTACCCCATCAGGGCTGACATTAGGTGGTCTAAGTTCCCCCATTGGGGGGTGGCGCCCCCCATTTGCAAACTATGAGACTTTCCTAAAATTTGTTTGTTGCATATGTAACTAGAAGAAGAGTTGTACTACAATGCATCAAAACCTGGAGTTATTTTGCCAAAAAATAAAAAAATTGGAGGGGGTACTCTGACAGGCTTTAAATAATAGCTTTTTTTCATGGGTCACATTTTTAATTTTTTAACCTATTAGATATGCAAACTTTTTAAATCTTTCTATTGTGTTACGTAGCCTCAGTATTAGGCCTTTAATGCCCATTGACAGAATTTTTCTATGTAAAATAGTTTTTGACTTTTGGGGGTTTTTGTTAAAAAAACGAAAAGTGGTCTAAGTTACACTGGGAGTCTAGTTACCCCAGTTTACGGTATCTTTGATGTTAAGAGACAAGAAGCAGGTAGGGAAAAAATGTTTTGGTTCCTGCTAAACTCTAGAAGTGGCTGTCCCCTTGCTGGCAGTGGCAGGCTGGCAGTGGCAGCAAGGGTTGATATTGCCTGACAAATAAATATCATTATAGAAATTGAGATCTTGAAATATGATCAGAGACTTTTCAGAGTATCAAATTTTTATGATGAAATAATCTATTTGCAAAGCTTGTGCTTATACTTACATACATTTCTCTTTCTAAGGATTTTTGACTTAGCAGATTTAAGATCATGTCTTCTGCAGATTGGGAAGAAGTAAAAAGGCTAGCTGCTGATTTTCAGCGAGCCCAACTTGCAAAGTCCGCCGAGAGGTTTGTACTTTGTACAAGTATATATATCATGATAGGGTGTATTCATGAGGCTTGGTTCATGTTATACATTCATTTTGGTTCATCTTTACACTAAAATATCTGAGAATTTTATTGTTATTGAATAAGGATATTACCTTATTCTGTCAGAATTCTTAAATCTGGATTATATTTGATAATCAGCAATCCATGTTATTTTTGTTTTAAAATCTCTATAATTTACCATGGGCAGTTGCAGGATGGTTCAGGACAACCAAAATGATAATTACATACATGTGAAATTTGAGCCTTCATAATTATTTTTTCAATTTAAATAAATTAACTAGAAATGTTCAATATTTGAATTGATAAAAAATTTTATTTTCCAGATTATCTGAGCGGAACTGTGTTGAACTGATCAATAAACTTCAAGAATTGCACCTTCTGAAGCTGCACTACACATGCGATGGCAAATCATACATCACTCCACAGCAGCTTCAGAAAGAAATTCTTGATGAGGTTTTCTTGGCTGGAGGTTTGTTCAGTCATTCTTATTTTGGTTCTGTTTCTCCTGTGTATAACTTATGATTGGCTGAAAAGTTATGCTGACTGCTTGAGTAGGTATTTCAAGCATACTTTGCATAGTAATTGCTTTTCTTATCTTGACACTTGACTGTATACATACCGTCTATATTTAATGGGTTTTGTATTGTTTAAAGTAGTTTGTTACAGTAAATTTGTATTTTGTCATAGGATAATCATTTTTCATCTCAACAGCATTCATGAAAATACTACCTAGTGTAAGAAATAACAAATAACAACTTTGTAGAAATATATACCTAGGTACATTCTGTCAAAGTTGGTTTCCTGGGGCCGGATTATCAAAACTTCATAACTTTTTGTACTTACAACAAAAAATTTATGTGGTACGTAAGTACACCCTAATTTTGGCATTATCAAAACTTTCGTACGCAAGTCGTAGCTAAAAGCGTAAATAAAGCGTAAATGTTTTTCCCGCGCAAATGTTTTGATAATACCACCGCTAATATTACGTTGTCATAGCAATGCCACTCATAAGTCGATTTTGCGTACTTACGAAGTTTTGATAATACGGCCACTGGTCTCTGTGTAATCTCCTTGTGAAATTAGCAAATAATTCTACTTATTGAATCTTTAATTTCAATACCATTTAATAATTTGTCAATAATCTCATAATAATAAATGTCAGTTCTTTGTTCAGTCTTTTTATGCTACCAGGACGCATGACTTTGGTGGATCTGAGCCGATTGCTCGGAGTTGACCTGAACATCGTGAGTGAAGAAGCTGCTGCTCTGGTGCAATCACATGGAAATCTCCAGCTCATCTTTGGTCAAATTATCTCCAAAGATTTTAAAAACGCTCTTGTTGAAGATGTCAATGAGAGACTCATCAAGAATGGTTCTGTATCAGTGGATGAGTTGACTGCCGAGTATGAGCTGCCAGTTGAATACCTCAGAACGGTGAGTTGAATTATATGTTTTTCTTCATTTTCTTGTATAATTTTGATATTAATAATTAAACTTTATTTTTGCATGGACTTTTTGATGGATAACTAACTTGTTGACTACATGTCAACTTATGAGCAAATTGATTGTAAATACTAACTAATTTCATCACAACCATTCTAGGTAGTTAAAAATGCATTAGAACACATTTTGCATGCTTGTAACTAATCGTTTATCTTAACTGATATTACTTTCAAATTTAAAATCAATCCACTAAAACTCATTAACAGAATTATTTTATAAAAAATTTCCAGAATTTATTCATGTTTGATGCTCATAGTGAGCATCAAAGAGCGGTTCTCCAGCAGCTGCTGGAGAACCACATTGGTCACGGTCTCATGGCCATCCCGGACTCCAACATAACAGGCTTTTGATAATGATTTTTTTTTGCAGCTGCTGGAGAACCGCGTTGACTATGGTCTCATGGCCGTCCAAGACTCTACATAACAGGCTTCTAATAATGATTTTTTTACAGTTGCTGGAGAGTCGCGTGGGCCACGGTCTCATGGCCGTCCAAGACTCCAACACTCCAGGCTTCTTCTACACGGCCCAGTACCTGGAACGCGTGCGCTCCAGCATCAGAGGACTCATGACTGCAGTGACTGTGCCCACCAGCGTGCAGCGCCTCATGCAGCTCTACCCCTGCAATGCTAAGCTATTCATGGGTAAAACATTTCAGCATACATGTAGCTTTTCATTGGCTCTTTGTATTTGGATGTCAATGACAATTGACTATTGCCAAATGACTTGACTAAATTGACTATTGGCAATGATATTTGCATCTAAAGGCAATTATTGGATATTATAGTTACCATTAATATACAAATGTTAAACCACAAGATCCCACCCTTGCCATGCAAGGGTGAAGTTACAGCACACCTAAACTATTTTCTTTACCTTTTTGGGTTCAGATGAAGGTTTTAGCTATTGTCAATGATATTTTCATCTAAAGGCTTGGTCGTTTCAGTCACTATCAGTATACAAAATGTTAAACCATGAGATTGGGCTATTATACTGTCCAATAATTGTAATATTTTATGGCCGAACCATATTAGCAAGAAAAAAAATTAATAAACAGGGTTCGTTCTGATTCAATGAATTTTCTGGGTTTGGTATTTTTTTATGAAATTCGCATATTTTTCCTCAAGGGAAATTGCTAAAACTGGCATAATACTTATTTCAAATTTCGTGGTCATAAATTTGTTGTTTTTAAATAATATATAAGTGCTGTTGAGGTATATCATTGTTGTTTACTGTTCGATGAACACTGATGTAACGGTTAGTTGTTTGAATTTTTTCATCACTTCTTTGATGCTTTCTTACCAGAGTTTAACTTTCCCAGTCTCTACCTATATCTCTTTTACTTCTCTATAATATTAACTACTGTGTTGCCTAAATTAAAAGGGTTGGTGATGGTTAATTATGCGCGCGAGTACGAATTTATTTGTATTAAAGGGAATAAAGGTGAATGGATGTAATGGTGAATAATGAACTTGATTATACATTCCTCACAGGGATCAAAAAGGTTGAAATGGTTAATTATGGACCAGAATATAAATTTATTTGTGTTACAGGGACCATTGGGGTTAGATGGTCAATTACGTATGAACTCCAGTATGAATATGTCCAGTGTCAATTCACTTGACCTGATAGATATTGATGACGAGTCAACATCTGGTAAACACGTGATAAATCGCGTGATCAAGACCTCAGTAGTGGGCGGAAGCGAAGCTTATATAAGGTCTAGCAACCTTAAGTAAAGCCCCCGCAGTAGCTGATAAGCACTTCGTGATGTAGCGGGTTGGTAGAGTTCTCTGACCTTAGGGTACGCACACAGTGAAAGCAGGTTGCCAGCGTGCTGGCTACCTGCTGAGGCTGGCGCCTGAAAATGAAATAAAAATACCTGGCGCTGGCCTATTCGTACAGGGTTTCACTGTGAACACTTACATTATTATCCTATGTTCATTATTGTGGCAGGTTGGAGCAGTTTGCCCGCGCGGGCAAACCTGCTTGCACTGTGTGGGTACCCTTACGGTCGACGCCGTAGCTTATTCCTCTGTATCGCAACTCTGTATAGACTGTATTACCACCCCGTATACAAGATACGTTATCTGGACTGACGTGTCTTACTTATCCCTCGCTACCTTAGTCACGTAACCCGATCCTCAGGTAGAGCTGAATATACGAGTTCAATTTCATGAGAGCAACCTCGGACAAATACATTTATGTTACAGGGATCAATGGGGTAGGGATGTTTAATTATGAACTGGATTATAACTTTATTTGTATTACAGGAAGCGTTGAGCGATTGGTATCGTCAGGCCGTGTGAGTGGAGAACTGATCGGAGGCAAGCAGAACCGCCATTACTCCTTCGTGCCGTCACTGCACTCGCGCACACAGAGCGCACTCATTGATGCCTTCTGGAACCAAAATGGCTACTTGGGTGAGAAAGCCCAAGCTAAAAATTTTAAATTTTGTACAAAAGTCGAATTTGTAATGCGACTGTGTGTTATTAATATAATAATTATCGTATTTAGTGTTAAATTTGAGTTAGTACTGCGACTGGTATTATTAAACTATTGTTTAGAATATTTTTTATATTTTGGGCGGAGTTTGATCATCAACTGCGACAAGCTATTATTAAGCTTATAATTTCCTAATTTTGTGCCGAGATTGATTTTTTCCCGCGACTGTGTGATATCAATCTAATAATTTTGATGTTTTGTGCAGAGTTTGAGTTTGTAAAGCGCCTTGGCATAGAGGACGCTGCAGGTTTCTTGTCTCGTCGCTATGGGGGCCACAACGAGCTGATGTTGGAGGGCGTGTGTGTCGGGGAGCCCTTGCTGCAGCGCCTCACTACCGCGCTAGAGGAGGCCTTGGCCACACATACCTTCTTCGACGCCGCGGTGAGGCTATTGACGACTTAGTATTTATGTTAAATTTGTAACAATTGATGATTATAACAAGAATATTAATCCTGACGACTTGGTATTTTTGTTAAACTTGTAACTATTTATGATTATAACGAGAATAATAAGCGTGCTGAAGATTATTTTTAATAGGAAAAAATGAATTGCAGGAATGAGCTTTTGACTACGCAGTCTTTAAATTAATGCAAGAGTGAGGCCGTTATGCCTTTTTAGCGCATTTTCTCATTTATGGAAAAAATGCACTATTGTGCTCGCCATATCCGTCTGTCTGTCTGTCCGTCCGTCCGTCTGTCCTTCCGTCGGTGACCTCAAGTTTTCGTCGATGAGAAAATGCGCTCTCTGTCACTCACTGCAGTGAGTACTGAGTTATATTTTTTCACATTTCCATGCCTATCTCTTGCATCGTGCACAGCTTAGATTTATTTTTAAAATTTCCTAGGTTCTGATGATTCAGACGAAGTATTCGCAACTAGTGAATATATTAACGTCAAGATGAATTTTCGCGAGACACTTTTTTTATGGATCCACATTTGACTACTCAAAACTGTGTTGTACTCATAACCATCTAGCATCTCAGACGTATGTCCAAGATTGTACAACACATTGAAACAATTGGTACAATACATTACCACAAGTTGTAGAATACATTACCACAAGTTGTAGAATGCATTACCACAAGTTATAGAATACATTACCTCAAGTTGTAGAATACATTACCTCAAGTTGTAGAATACATTACCTCAAGTTGTACAATACATTACAACAAGTTTCAGCATTGTACAATATCTTACAACTAATGCTCAAGTCAGTGATGTGCTATAATGCATTACAGATGGTGCTACCCTCGTGCTTCAGCAGTGAGCACATCAGCAGCCTGCTGGAGTTTGCTCTGCAGCAGTGCGGCTCTCAGGTCGCAGGCAACAACTCCGTGCCTAAGGGCAAGCGCTCTATGCTCATGTCAGGTCTATATACTTTCTTGAAACTGAACCTTAGTTCATCAATCTAAATATTCCCACAATAAAATAGATATTTTATGAGAATTCACATTATGTCCAGTATAATTTATTGTATTTTCAGTTTTTGTAACATTGAAATACCATTGGTCACTACCGATGGTCCCTAATTTGAATACCAGATCGTTAATATCAACTAATTATATGGCTATAATTCATTGCCCACTTCTGGTAAAGGTTTCATTATTCCTTATTTTATTTGATTTAATGTTCGTGATAATATGTTAGGTAAATTGGCTTAGGTATTGAAGTTTAATGAATTCCATTAGCCTAGTTAATAATTTTCAGACTGACATATTTTTAATTATATGTTCATCTTTATAAAAGGTATTGTCTGAGTTTTGTAAATGTAATGTTCATTTTAGTCGTTGAAAAATGAGGCAAAAGACTGGATACACCACGCAAGTGTAAAAAGTGCCTCGCTATTTGGAATAAGTCTCATTGATTTCCCTGAGTGTGGACATGAGCCTGGAGTGTTTTGCCAATTATGTTATATAACTATTGCTGTATAACATTTGTTGGCTGCAGGAAGCAAGAGTGAACGGCCGCTGGTGCTTGGGTCGTGCGTACTCAGCGGTGTGCTCGTGGCAGGCCTCAAAGAAGCCCTCACCACCGACATGGCTGAGAGGGCGCGCAAGCTTGTTGCTGCGGGAGGCTTCAAGCCTAAGGTATTATTATCTAAAACAAGGAACTTCTTCTGAGACATCAATTGAGGTCAAACTTTATTTAAACTTCAGGTTAAACTTAGTTTAAACTTTATTCCAAATCATAAGGCTGATATGGCACTCCAGCTTGTTAATATCTGAGTTCTCAAGCCCAAGGTGAGAAGTCAATAACTTTTTTGAGACAGTAATGTAAGAAGCAGACTAATGTATGGCAGTGAAAAATGTAATTTCTAATGAAGTTTTAGATGAGGCACAAAAGTCTAATGTTGTGGCCTAGTTCGTGGACCCAAAATTAACACGTGCGGAAGAAGCGAGGAGGTATGTACCAGATTAAATGGTTTATTTCAAGATTCTACATAAGCTTGTTGCTGGAGGATTCTGGTCTTAGGTGGCAAGTCAGGAACTTGGTTTGCATTTCCACTCAGCACAGTAAATGTGTGTGAAAGTGTGATTAAAAATTATTTGGCTTAAAAAATTGTAAACTAGGTGATGCGGAATGCGTAAAGACTAAGGCAAAACATTGTGGACCAACTGGAGTTACAAAGAGATGAAAATTAAAGAAAAATCCATTGTGAACGTACTTGCATCATTTACGATTAGAAAAATGGTTCTTTTTAGCTCATTTTCTCATTTATGGAAAAAGTGCGCTATTGTGCTCGTCAGGTCCATCTGTCTGCCCGTCTGTTCGTGACTTCACGTTTTCGTCGACGATAAATTGCGCTCTCTGTCCCTCACTGCAGTCAGTACTGAGTTATATTTTTTATGATAAGACCCCTAAAGTCTTTAATTATTGTTGACCATTTTAAAAAGAAATTATTGAAAATGGTTTCCAATGTCTCCGGTTATGTGTAGCCATTGGGTGGAAAAATGAAGCTGGACGACGGCGAGCCTGCGAGCAGTAAGAAGGAAGAGCGCCGCAAGAAGGCTGCAGGAGGCAAGACGGGGGGCGGCACGCAGGGCCGCGAGACCAAGACGCGCTCCACTAAAGGGCACAAGGGACGACGCGGTGCACAAGACGACGATGGGCTCGATGATGACGCCACCGAGTCCACATCTTCTGCTGCTGGTAAACTTGAAGCAGTCGAAATGTTGTGTGGTAGCTGCGCTCATGGGAATTTTGCTCAATATTTTAGGGGGAACTAATTTGCTTCACGACTTTTTCTTTCGGGAGTTTTCAATGTTGATTTAAGAGGATTATTCCCCTGGAAGATTTCCATTAGCTTGTGACATTAAATACATATTTTTTGCCCTGGTTATAAAGAAAGTGTTGAAATCTGTTATGAACAATCTCGTATTAAATTGCTGTAGGAATACACCAAGTCGCTGCGTAGCGATAAACACTTCGATGATCTGATTATTAGTACTATTAGATTAAATACTGTTAATGTGGCAGCTGGTATGCACAAAATCTCTTGTTATCACGAAATTCTGGAATCTTATATCAACAACAATACACAGAAGTCCTAACGTCCGCAACCTCTTGGCAGGCCCCATGAAGTTTCCTGACGTCGAGTTCCTGCCTTTCGATGAGCTCAAGTCGAAGCTGTCTGACATGCCTGAGTTGACTGACGCTGACGAGGAGCTGTTGGAAGCTCTTACTACGGAGCTGCACCAATGGAGCAGGTATACAGACTACTGAGAGGCTTTATCTGTACGACTGTCAGCAAGTAATTGATAAATTAATTCGTCACTAAATAATTTTATGGGTTCTTTATGCTAATTTTTCTACCTCCGAACTTTATTTAAGGTGAAGTATGTGGAAAATTCATCATACCTTGATTTTTAATTTACAGTAAGGTTATGCTTATAATTATTAGTACCATACGCTGCTGCTAGCTTTAGTTTCTGACAGGTTCTAATAATTTCCGAGTAAAGATTAATCTCTAATTACCTTGCCCAAAATTCTTTCTTACATTTTATGCTTCAATAATTGGCATTTATTATTGAAGATATTCCTATTACATTGATCTCCAATTATATTATTTCCAGAATACGTATCCTCATCAGTGACAAAATACTAACACCTCGAAAAGAGTTACCGGTATCTCTTTATTTTAACTCTATTAAGTTAACTGATTTATTTTCTTACAAAGCACGAGATTTCATATTTTTGCAATATTGTTTCGAAGTAGAATTCGGAAATGACGAAGCGTTTGTGCGAGCAGGAAGGTGTACAAGGACGTGTGCGTGCAGTTGTACGAGAGCCTCGGGTCAGGAGCTGCAGGAGGCGGCGGCAGGAAGACGTTCCAGCAGTTGCAGGAGCGCGTGCTTGCTCTGCTCACCACCTGCAGACTGGCAGAGATGGCCATCAAGGTATGATTTGACCGCCTGCAATTTATCCTGATTTTGCAGGATAAATTGCCTATCCTGTTGATAAATTGCCTTTCCTAATTGATAGGCAGGATATCCTTCCTATCAATTAATTTTTTGATAGGCATTTTTATTCTATTTTCACCCCTCCTGTTTTCTTGTTGTTTTTCTGGTTATAATTTCCATCTTCTTTTCCTTGGGGATTATCACGTTTTATGTTTTCATTATTTTATTCATTTTAGCTTCCAAATTTTCTCTTCTTATCATTCTTTTCCTTACTCATGCTTTACTTTCTGGATAACTTTTCTAAATTCATTATATAATTCTCACTCAATTCACTTTTTCTTCGATACATCTTTTCTTCCTTGCTAAGTTGCTGGTGCTAGACGTGCACTGTATGTCATGGTAGGCTGATTTTTATTTTGGAATAATTTTTATTAAAATAATGTATTTGATTGTGAACTGTGATTGCAAGAGTTTGCATTAACTTATGGCTTAAAAGTTTACAAGTTTGTAAAGGATGAAGATTTCATGATTTAACGGTATTTTTTATTTGTTTATGCAGTGAGGTATTTTTTGTTTGTTTATGCAGTGAGTGTTCCTTCGTAAGAAATAATAGCGATTTTGTATTGGCTTATTTGTATTTATTACTATTAATAATATTTATTACTTATACTAATTGACTAACATTTTTTCTCAGGAGTTTCAAGGCGACACAGCGTTGCAGTTAAGTCGTCATTTGCTGCGAACCTACGGCGCCGAACTGTTGGCTGAACTACTGCTGAACACTGCTGAGCTGCCTCAGCAAGACCCCGTGCTGCCTAAAGACCTCACTGCTGAGGTAAGTGCTGTGCTCTGCTGAGGTTGGTGCTGAACACTGCTGAGGTAAGTGCTGTGCACTGCTGAGGTTCGTGCTGTGCACTGCTGAGGTTCGTGCTGTGCAGTGCTGAGGTTCGTGCTGTGCACTGCTGAGGTTGATGCTGTGATCTGCTGAGGTTGGTGCTAAACACTGCTGAGGTTGGTGCTGTGCACTGCTGAGGTTGGTGCTGTGCACTGCTGCTGAGGTGGGTGCTGCGCACTGCTGAGGTTGGTGCTGTGCACTGCTGAGGTGGAGCCTGTTTCATTATCGCTGTCTACTGCCAAAAATCAAGTGAATTGCAATAACATAACTTCCATTCCAAAATAGCTCCTCGATTTCTTCGCACGTGAAGCTGATCAGTGTACTATATCTCCTTTTGTTTACACTGCAGGCACGCGTAAAGCTAATCAGTGGACTGCGTCCTGTGGCCGAGGGAGGTTGTCGTGAGACGATGCTGGCGGCGCACAAGACCCTTGCTGGATCTGACCTCGCAGCGTATTTCTCGGCGGTTGAAATCGCCATTCAGGATTCCGGTATCATGATTCCCAAGAAGAAAGATACGAAAAAAGATCGGTGAGCCAAGATCAAGTCTGAGTCACTAGTGAGCACATTATTCTCCCCGATAATTTCTTCACTCTTTTTACAACACTTCTCTTTAACTTCACTTCTTGTTTGTCTGTCTGTCTGTCTGCTACAAATCTTGTAATCGAAATTTAATACACTTCTGCTTATCCTATCATTCTGAAATTTTGCACACTTGTTTAAAGTCGGAGACAATGCATGAATCAAATGTCAAAATAAATGATTTTTAAAATTGAAAAAAATTTTTTTTTTCAATATTAAAAAAATTGAAAAAATAATTTTGTCACCTACAAATCTTATAACTGATATTTGACACACTTTTACCTGTCTAATTGATCTGAAATTTTGCACACTTGTGTGAAGTCAGAGGCAATGCATGAATCAATTAACAGAATAAATAATTTTGAAAAAATTTATATAAAAAAAAATTATATATATTAAAAAAAATGAAAAGTTAATTTTTTAAAATTAGATGAGAAATTCATTGTACATCTGTAAGATTGGAGATACTGGATTCTTTGGAAGTGTTGTCTTTAAAAAGTAATTTTTAAACGTATATTATTATAGTTGATGATGCAATTCACGCAAATGCAATAAATTCAACTTACAGCCTTCTTTTCTTTTTGTGAGCGACCAGAACTGACATTCCCAAATTTACTCGATTCTAATTATTCACTTGTAGAATTCGAACTGTATTGCCTTCAGAATCACTTCTAATTACGAGTTAGCACGCATTGTGTGGTCGCGCCACGTACATTGTGTTAGGACCTTTGAGAAGAGTGATTGCGGCTGGTGGTGATCGGCGGAAGAGGCACCTTCATTAGTTAATTTCCTGCTGTCAACCTGAACGGCCTGGTTCAGAGAGATGCCTACCTGGGCAATGCGGTTGTCGCCTATTCAGCCTGTAGCTTACCGTGACTTTATGCTGACCTTTGTTACCGTGTGCAGTCTTTCCTGCAATAAGAAGTGTCTTGCTGTGCTTAACATTGGCTATCCTACCTCAAAGCCAGCAATATATGATAGCACGTTTCGGTTTTGGTGTGGCTTTGTAGGCAGCGGTAGGTATTTATTTAAATATATTCTTACACACGTAAAAGAACCAATTATAATTATTGGCAATTGCGGTTTCCCTCTTATTCTCAAACACGAGTAGCTGTTATCCTCTGATTCGTCACCATAGGCAGCTGTTATCCTCTGATTCTCTACCTCAGGCAGCTGTTTGCCTCTCCTTCACCAAAGGCAGTTTTTGTCCTCTAATCCTACACCTGGGACAGCTACTATCCTCTGATTCTCCACGACAGGCAGCTGCTGTCCTCCCACCGAGCTGGCCTTGTAGAGCAGTTGTCGACGTGCTGCGATCCCGCCCTCTGCCTACACCTGGCGTCGCTGCTGCTCTTCCACTCCTCCACGGGGAAACTCTTGCATGCATCCGGCAAATTTGTTCCCTCAGTGCTGGCCTTCCTGCGTCCCCACCTTGGAGACGAGCTCAATGACCTCGTGCATCGGTATCAGGGTGAGTGAAGTAAAAGCTTAGTAACTTACCGTTGTCAGGGTGGGTAATATACCGGTATCAGGGTGAGTGAAGTAAAGGCTTAGTAACTTACCGTTGTCAGGGTGAGTGAAGTAAAGGCTTGGTAACTTCCGTTGTCAGGGTGGGTAATAAACCGGTATCAGGGTGAGTGAAGTAAAGAGTAAGTAACGTACCGTTGTCAGGGTGAGTGAAGTAAAGGCTTAGTAACTTCCGTTGTCAGGGTGGGTAATATACCGGTATCAGGGTGAGTGAAGTAAAGAGTAAGTAACGTACCGTTGTCAGGGTGAGTAATATACCGGTATCAGGGTCAGCAACGTAAGAGCAAGTATATATAATGTAGGTACCGATATCAGGGTGAGCAACGTAATGATAAGTAATGTTTTGCAATGTATGGTAGTTAATCGAATTATGTAAGGTATGGAAATGTTTAAAAAAGATTTCAAATTGGATTTTCTTTAAGAAAACAACGATGTTTTTGATCCTCTTTTGTTTTTGATCCTCAAGCCTTACCATCATTTTTTGATCGCTCTTTCAGAGTTGGTTATGAAGAAACTCACTTCAGGCATTGAAGGAGATGATGACCTGAACGCTGTCAACCAGCAGTTAGAGGAGCTTACGCCATGTCTTAAGGACAAAACCATAACCTTCAGGAAATACTCCTCTGAAGCATCATAATCCGTTATTCTGTAGGAAATCCTTCATAAATCTTCCGAGGTGGAAATTAGTATCATCATTTCATCAGTGGGTTTGAAAGATTGGGTTTTAAATTCTTCTGTAAGAGATTTAACTCGAGTAATTTGATATTGTTGCAGCTTCAAAATTATCTTTGTAGACTTGATTTAAATTAAATGGATCAAGTTATAGGAAATTAGGAGCACCTGGTTAAATATTGAGGCTCATCAAGGCACGCATGATAGAGCTTCAAAAACAAAATGTTCGAAAATTGTTTTAAGTCCGAAGAAAGTCTCACTTCTCACTGTTGTGATCAGTTTGTTGTGTATAGCACAAGTTCGTCTTGGTGGTTACGGTTGTAGCTCTATGGTATATGGTGTGTTTCATATCACAATTATGTGCCAAGGCTTTTACTTTCTTTAATCTTCAATGTTTTTGTTGTCATAAGGGTCCGGAATTTAAAAGTAAAGAAAATAGCCAAAAAGTTCACCATTTCTTATGAGAGCAAACGTTTCGGAGTCCAGCTCCATCGTCAGTTCAAAACCTAGAACACAGGTACACACAATTAGTAGCCTAAAATTCACATTCATGGTAAATTTGCGACTTGAGCAGCCAAGTGATCTTAATTCTTGTCATAAGGGATGCTGCAGCCGATCACTCGATAACGCGCTATAAATTTGCTACTACAGCAGCAACAACCGAGGTCACCATTCCAGGTGTTAAACTTGCAGGTGATGGGACAATGATTGCCTTGACTTTAGTTATCTTGTTAAGTCCTATTAATGACTTTTTTATTTTATATTATATTTTGGCATGTCTGGTTCTTGGTGTGTTTGAGCCCTCTCTTCCTCATCATCTCCTTATCATCATGTATAGTATAGTATCTTCGGCATTCTCATTTATAGTATCTTCGGCATTGAAGAACAGGCCTATCCAGGCCTATTCTTCAATGCCGAAGATACTATACTATGCTATGTCTTGGATACCTGCCACTCCTTAAATTTCTTGCTCTAGGAATGAGCAGATAACGTCGCTATTTATTCAGAGTTCGCGCGTTGAAATGTGTTGAAAAAATGGGGTTCAAATTATGTATAGAGATTCCTAATTAGAATCTATTTCAATTGATAAATTTGAATTTTTCCAACTTTTTTACATATATGGCTAAATAAGGTCACAAATAAGTTTCGATACATCAAGTAATGCTAGTTGGAAAGTTATAAACATATTAGGAATAAAATTTGTTGTTTTCATGGTAAAGGATAAATCGGTCTTGAATTTATCTGTCGGTTTGAGTGGTATTAATGGGAGTTGTCTGATCTTCATCGCCAATTTATGAAGAATTATATCAGGAGCTGAATATCACTATGTCTTGAGATAGCACCTGGCCGATTTCGGCTATCGTCCAAATCAGCGATGTGGCCGGGCGATATAGCACCGTAAGATTAGCGCCGTTAGTTACTTGTTCGAAACAAACTGAAAATTCGACGATGTTTAGAATCAGTGTCGGGCCTAACAGACTAATCTTCAGCTCTGATCCTGCTATTATTATAGACACAGCTCAATGATTTTTGTCGTAAGTCTAACTATTCTATTCTTTTACGGTTATGCATGCCGTATTGAATATATTTTTGAAGCAATTAAGGGGTCAAATAGTATGAGCTCACCTGCTACCGTAATTCTAAATATCACATTATCGGCTAATCTAATCGCTGCAAAAGGCAAGGGGATTGCGGAATTTAAGTATATCTGCAGAAAATATACGTCACTTTTCATAAAATTTTGAATTTCTACAACATGTATTCTATTTAAATCACGATAATTAAAGGATTGTGTCCAGATCAATTGTCTACCAGCGTCGTTACTGCCCCAGTGCTCCTCCGAAAGCGCCTTCAGGCTTCAATGAAAGGCCCGACAAATTTTGGGTGGATCGTCCAGACCTTTTAGATCCTGAGTACTACTACTGGACAACCAATTTTCTGCCTCTTAAGGCTGCTTCACCTTCGCCTAACATGCATGCAACTGTGTGGAGTGCGAACTGGAAGGGTGGTCAGGCAACAGTGCCTACTATCCTCTTACCATCAACTTGATGGTAACGGGGAACCATCAAGATGATGGTACCCTGTTATCGAAATCATCAGCATGAAGTATGGTTCACAAATGAATTATCTGAGAGCATTTGAGGCACCTTCAAAATGTCACCAACCGAATTCATTGTTCCGTCTGCATTTTCCGCACGCTAGTGTTAGATGGCACTGCAAACAAAGAATAATGAGAATTGAGATTTCGGGTTGTGGCAGATTCACTGATTCAGTTTGCTCTCTGCATTCCTCGGAAACACGCTGCTTATCACTGTTAATTACGTGTTAGTGCAGTACCTATCACTGTTATTACTATGATCTATAGTAGTATGATTATCTGAGTAAAATTTGACATCATGAGGTTTTGTTCTCCTAATCCTATTAATTAGTATTAACATAACATAGTGATGTCGGCGCACGGCGCTGAAGCGTAGGCCGTACAGCCCGTACTGCTGTAGGCCTGAATCCTGATCATGATATGGCCTGCCGGCTGTCGCCGATTCTTTTCCTTTTCGTGCCTCTGAAGTCCTCTTCTTTCATTGTAGATGATGTAGAGGTAGAATAAATGACATTTTCTGTGATTTTTACTTGTTTTTCCTTAATCGATATGATATTTCCAGGCCCAGCACACAAGACTCTATCAGTCTCTATGTACATTATACAGTACATAGTGATATAGAAGACGTCCAGAGGCGAGCAACAAAACTCTTGGCATCACTAAAAGACAAGCCCTACTCAGATAGGCTCAAGATGCTGAAGTTACCATGCTTGGAACACCGCCGGTTGAGGGCCCCGAATGAGGGGCGATATGATTGAGGTTTATAAATACCTACATCATACATGGCTACTATGATGTCTCACGCCCAAGCATAGTGGCAAACCAGAGCTTTTTTGGAATCAGTTCATTTTTAATTTCCTCATTTATTCAAGATTTAAACCAATTTCTTATGTATGATAATGCTGGTATCCAGGATACCAACTTTACTGGTCTACTTATAGGACTCAAAAATGAACTTGAGGGAGAGTCTAAATTCTAAAAAACTCTCTGCTTTGCCACTATGCGCCCAAGTTTTGCGATGGCTACAGCGAGAGACCTCCGCGGAAATTCTCTAAAAATCCAAAAGAGCCATTTCAGACTGAACATTAGAGGTAACATTTTCTCTCAGCGCATTGTCAGACAGTCAGAAACTAGAACAGCTTGCCAGAGAATGTCGTCAAAGCACCATCTGTGGTCCTGTGGATACTTTCAAGAGTCGCCTTGATAAACATTGGCTTCATCTGCCTACTCTCTATGCTCCATCATGCCAGAACTAGACACTAACTTTTTTTTGCAACCCAGCTGCCCCTGAATTTTGCTAATATTACAAAAGTTAGTATAGTCTCGGACTAAGACTCAGAGAGACAAACAGGTCTCTGAGAATTTGAGAAAGGCCTCAAGCGTCTAACTTGTCAAGTCAAGTCATAACCATATACTATATACATTAATTACCGTATTATTGATGTGAATGGGTTGCATTGCAACACATTCACATCATAGTGGAATCACACCACTATGTGAATCACACCACATCATAGTGGAATCACACCACTATGATTCACAATTGCAATATTACCATATCCATGAGATGATGACTGATGAGCATGCCATTGAGCATTTACAACAACCTTGTCCACTGCAAGCTTCATATCAGCAGCCTTATAGAATTTTTTCAGGACCTGTAAGCTTTATTAGCTTACAGGGTAAATAATAACAAACAGGATGGCTTGCAATTTCACACCATTTTAATTGGGTTAAGTGAATTTACTATGAAAAAATTGTGAAAACATACCTGAAACAGAAAGGAATGTTTTAGTGACAACCATCATATGTTTTGGAGAAATAAATCATAGTTTAGGTCAATTAGCTGCTTTTCATTCTCTGATGCCCGGTGGCGGGCCGGTGCACAATTCTTCAGGTATATAGCTAGCATTCTATGCACAATTTTGTGATGACCGATGAGGCACAAATTTTTTGATAAGTGAATTTTTTTTGCTAAGCAAGGTAAATGTAATCAATATTCTTTGTTTTTAATCAATTTTTTTTCATAACTGGAGCCTTTGCTAACTGAGGTTCTACTGTAAATGCTTTTTGGAGGTGTCCCGAATAGCCCCAGGGGAGGGGTGTCCTGAGTAGGTGGAGTAGCCCCGCTGCCCCACTGCGTGGAAATGGCCACCATTTTTTTTGGATTGAGGTATGTAAATTCCACGAATAAAGTTTTCATGCTGACACTTGTGTGCCACTTTTTTTTCAAGCGAATTTTCTTAATACAGCAAATATTTTTTTAACTACAGACCTTAGCAGAAGTAGGGTAAACGCGGTATATTCCGACACATAAACGCATCGAGAAATGAAAAACTATAAAAAAATAACCGTATGCGTTACTCGAGTTCTGTTTGCTTTATGTGACTCAAAAAACCCGTACTACGCGCTAGCAATGATGAAACGTCACAAAATGTTGCCATATTTATTGAAAAGCCTTTAGAATGCAAACCTACCAAATCCCTATATTCGGACACTGTGTGTGGCAATATTCAGCACGTGGTGAGGTGTATTCCGTCCGCGATTCAAATTCTACTGATACGTAATGCCGTCATCCACGTGTTCGAATTCCGTTCGCTGTGTGAGCTGTATTGGAATACAACACGGCTTTGAATTAGAACACTAATGAATATTGAACACTACTTAATTATGCTTTTAATTAACAACTATTTAGCTTTTAATTAAGCAAATTTTAATTTTTGTACATAGCTTGGAACGATCTGTGTGTGTCCAATTCAAGTTGTGACTAAATCCATTTCTCAACTTAATCATCTATTAATTTATTTACCACTTGAAATCAGCAAATACAAGTATACTTAAAGGATTCCTAATATATTCACAGACGTATTTAAAAGTCTCAAACCATAATATTTTTCCTATACAAACAGTTATTCACTATTTGGTAGAGCAAGGTCAACTGTCAAATTTGACACATTTTTCGATGATCTCACTGGGTAGCGTGCATTGTCTCTCTTTGGATCTCAATATTTTCCCGCTAGATGGCCAAGACCTAGTGTTTTGGCATTAGTTCGACGCGCAAATGTATGACGTCACCATTTCAACCATCAATGAACGCATGGAACTATAACAAAGCTTAATATAAAGGAAAAACTAGAGAGGTGACAGAATTACCCACGATGTCGGAATATACCGCGTTTACCCTAACTTTTGTACTTTTGTGTTTTATTTTTTGTTTTTTTTTAGCAGAAGTAAAAGTTAGTACTAAATGTAGTATTTTTTAACTTCCTTTATACTATAGGTATACTATATAGATAGGAAAAATGTTGACATTTATGCCACTATATTTAGTTTTGCAATATTCCAATTAGATTTGCTACTAATACAGTTTTACGCCGTGTTTAGCTTCCCAAGTTACCCCGCCCGTCTCGAATAGCCCCGGACCCCTGGTTGATGGTAGTCAAACTACTTGTGGTGCAAATGATAAATGTATTCCATTGCCCCCTATTTGGAATATCAGGCAGAAGTGTCCTAGAATTGCAGTTGAACAATCATTTCACAGGTTATTTAAAAAAATTGTGGGTTATTGAAAATAAAAACTGGCCATTATTTTTTTACTGAAGAAATGGGGAAAGGCTTATGGGAATGAGTAAAATTGGCAGATTTAATGAGCATTTTTGTCTGATTCATGGGTGGCTTCTGCCCAATTTTTCAGATAGACATGGCCCAATCAGGCCCATGCTAAAGCCTGGATGTAACAAATCTAATCTGTAAGTAAAATTGTTCAGAATTTTTCAGTAATTATTGATAAAAAGAGTTTTGTTGGTAGTTTTCTGAAATTGCAGGCAAAAATGAGTCTCTTTTTGTAATATCACTATACAAATTGGTCAAGCCCTGTAGGCTGTAAAAATAGGTGAAATTGATGACAAGAATATTAATTCGACTGCCTCACAGAACCTGTGTTTGTTCAGTTATATAAGGCGTTTGTACGCCCACTGTTGGAATACGGTCACTCTGTGTGGCAGCCATACAACAAAACACTCTGTGCAGAGGTCGAGGATGTTCAAAGAAGAGCAACCAAGCTACTGGCATCACTTAGCAACCTAGACTACCCGGCTCGGCTAGCCGCTCTGCACCTACCAAGTCTCGAACACAGAAGAAAAAGAGGAGATCTCATAGACTGTTACAAATACGTCCACAAAGTGTACAACACCGTATCACTCTTCAAGCTGTCCACCAGTGACAGAACCAGAGGCCATAGTTTGAAACTTGTTAAAGAGCAGTGCAGTCGCCAGGTACGCTTGAATTTCTTCTCCGTCAGAGTGGTGAACATGTTGAATAGCCTTCCTGAGCTGGTAGTTTCCGTCCCCAGTGTCAACTCATTCAAATCTCACCTGGACACTCACTGGTCTAACCTAGCCACCAAGTACGACCCGGACTGCTATCACTAAACTCGTACTTGGAACCCACCACTCACGTTGCTTAATACGACGTATCACCATCACCATGATTGTTGAACAGGCCTCTAATAAGGCCTTCAACACCTCAACCCTTCAAAGTCAAAGTCAATATGCATTTTTATTTCATTTATCGGTGGCTTTTGCCCAATTTTCAAGGTTGGATCCATGATCTTTGGAGAGCATCTACTATATATTGATGATAAATAAAATATCATCAAGAAACACATGGCCCTACTGCTGGTGTGGAATATACCCAACCATCTTTTAAGCCACTACCACTCTAGCAGGGTTTTTCTGCCATTTTCAGAGCTATGAGATTCCTGCTATATGAATTGTCTCTCCTCTAATACCAGTAGGTAATAAAAATGCATAGTCATGGCACCTTGGGACCACACAATTTCCGTAACAAGTAGTAAAATTTCAATCCTGATCCTGGAAAGAAATCTTGAAGAAACTTTCCCTGCATGTTCATACAATACTGGGCCAGTAAAAAACAGTTGGTATCTATTAAATATTTAAAATTGGATCACAATTTTTACCACTCAAACTTTTGCAATACAAATCTTTACATTGTAAATAAATAATATACCCAAAGCAGCATTGACTATTTATTAAAGTTACTTACGCATGTTGCTACTTTATGTGTGAAAAAAATTTCATGTGTTTCAGATGTGATCTTATTTTGAAATTGCTTCCAGAAATATATTTTGTAATAGTTGGATTAACTGCAATAGTTTCTCTGAAAATCTAGGATCTATCTGGGTAACTGCCCACAATTAGTTTAATAAGTTTATCACTGAAGTTACATTATCCTGGTATTCATGCTTCACCTGCTAATTCTCTTTCATATTCAGTTTAGTTAGATGATGAATTGTATCTTTTGTTTAAGAAAATTTACAGTCACTTGTTTTCTAATTTATTGTGTAATAACAAATTCATCTGTATCCAAATGTGATGCAACTATCCAATCTTCTTACGATGGTAAGTTTTACTTATTTTTTTTTTGGTTGCACTTGTATGCTTGAATTAGTTTAGGTTCTCTTTGTCTGTATTTGCAAAATATTCCATTTGAATACAAAAGAGCTACCAGGTACATGATGATGAAGCTGAATGGAAGTATTTTTAATGAATCAATGCTATGTCTCAAGTTGACTCATATAATGTTGTATTGTATTTTCTATAAATTCAATGCTGGAACAGCCTAAAAATTTAATATTTTACTTTTTTTACAATCATCCAAACATCTAAGATGTAATGTATAATGAAGAAACCTCCTACTTTATAAATAAAAAATATGGACTCTGGCAAGACTAATTTCAATATTTGTTCATTGTGAATACTTTGAATCTATACCACAGTATTTCAACTTCAAAATATTGTCTACAACTGTGTTAATCGAAGGAGTTTTTTGATGGAATTTTACCACCAACAGCTAAGGTTGGGGTCTCCCGTGAGGTCATGGCTGGCCGGCAGCTATACGTGTATAAAGCATACAAAGACATGCATATTTTTCACTTCAGTGTCCCTCCTCTGACATCAAATGTCACCTTCATCTTCACTGCTAATGACACAGAAGCATGTAGCCCCAGGAATGTTTCTATGTGAGTGTATATAAATAAATGATGAAATTTAGTGTAAAAATCCCTTTGTCTCGTGTATACTGGGACTCTTACCACCAAAATTTAATTCTGAAGAGTAGAATATCAATTTCTCCTGATTTTTTGATATACCTACCTATAACTCAAGGTTGTTTCCCTGCCTCTGCTTTTGCAGGTACATAACACAAGGCAGTTACCCTGCTTCTGTTTTTGCAGGTACATAACACAAGGCAGTTACCCTGTTGTTGCTGTCAATGGTGAAGAATTCCCAGCAAACTTGTGGGTGGATCGAGGGGTGAAGGTGTACCCTGTGGAGCTCAGCTCCAACAGTGTACCGGTGTCACTGACCATCATCTCTCCCGTGCCTGGGAGCTGGTTCATGGCGGGGGCTGTCACTGAGGACAGCAATAGAATCACTCAAGCAGTCAGTGCTATGGCGAAATTTCCTTTACTACAAGCATTTAGAAAACACATTCCTTTTGCCTTGTGATATCCATAGTAGTATTAAATTTGTACAAATTAAGTAGTGAAGTAAAAAATTGAAATCACATGCTTAGCACCATATATGATGTTCATGGATACTCCATATATTCTTGGATCATTAATTGTAACTAATTTGTCAGATTTGCATTTAGTGTATGATATTCATGGATGTTGTCAATAATCCTAGATCATTAAATGCAATTCTGAGATTTGCTATTGGCTTTTTATCTATTTTTTTGTACTAGATATTAACCATTGTTAATTAATGCAAATTTGCTTTCATGAAGATGTGCACAAAACCAGAAATTTGTTGTTGCAGGGCCTGGTGCCATCTTGCCAGTCATGGGTACGAGTGGAGGCGGAGTACCATCAGGATGTGGTGGTGACAAACGTCATGCCTACCGTGGTGGGTGAGGCCCTCCAGCCACCCATTCCTGGTGACATCACCCATGATACTTACTACAGGTGTGTGCTGTGGTGTTACTTATATCATGATACTTACTACAGGTGTGTGCTGTGGTGTTACTTATATCATGATACTTACTACAGGTGTGTGCTGTGGTGTTACTTATATCATGATACTTACTACAGGTGTGTGCTGTGGTGTTACTTATATCATGATACTTGCTACAGGTGTTTACCATTGCAAAAAAAATCCCATTTAGACAATCTGAAGAAAAATATTCAAATGCTATGTTAAGGTTTATGGTGTGACATCTTTATTTCAATTGCATGGTGTAGAATCTTGGTTTGAACTTATGGTGTATTGGTGTAAAATTTTTAACACAACTAACAGTGTACGGTGTATCTTGATCCCTACTACAGGTGTACGGTGTAGTATCTTTATAACCAACTTCAGGTGTATGGCTTACAATCTTCATACCAACTCCAAGCATATGACGCTGAGTTAGTTTACATTTATTGCAAGTTTTTCTTATAATACTACACAACTTGTTTTCTTCAATCACAGTCGCCTAACTCCACATAATTCTATTACTTAGATTACTTGCTACATGATTTTATTACTTAGATTTGTGTTACAGGTTCTATGTTGGTCCATATGGCTTCTCTGCCTCAGTCTTTATCTCAAAGTGCTCCGCATATCTCGGTGAGCTCTTCATTTGTTTTCTGGTATATTTCAATTGTTTTTCAAAATTTAGTTACTCTCAATATTTGGGTCTAACATAATATTATGTTAACATTTTCCTGAGCCTTTCAATAAACTTTTTTCAGAGATATTGAAAAGATGAAAATTTTTGCATTTGTCAAGCTACAATCGGAAAACTAAGGTCAAAATATGAAAAATAGTATGTAGACATTCAAAATTATTGAGAGTGGTTGATGCATGTGCTACTCTTCTACCAATTATGTAACTACCAATTGAACCAAACTACCAACTGTTTAATTGAAAAACTTAGTGTGGCAGATTGTTGTATTTCATGGCACCTTGGTTGCCGCGGGTGTAGTTGTGGAACTGTAATAAAATTTCAATAGTTCATTCATGCATGTTTATGTGAACAGGTTTCTGAATATGGTAATGCACATGTTTTAACTGCTTAATAATTAGAACGTGTTTAAGCATTAACTTAATTGTATTAGGTTTGACTTTCATGTTACTGAATGACCTCATCATGCGTCTCAACATGTGTTATTATAGGCAGGGAATGTATATACATATATTGACAGGCTATACATGAGTATTGACAAGTATATATCAGTTTCAATATACCTGAGTAAAAATTCCCGCAGGACCTGAATCAGAGCAGCTGAGAGCAGATGGCAGCTGTCCTTTGATGGTGGAACTTACTCCACTGGCCCTCTCTCACCACTCATCCAACCACTCAGTGTGAGTACCACTCATCCAACCACTCAGTGTGAGTACCACTCATCCAACCACTCAGTGTACCACTCATCCAACCACTTAGTGTACCACTTATCCAGCCACTCCATGCCAGTAAACATTGAATAACATTGAATTCCTCCATGCCAGTGACGATAATTTCGTGACATTTGTCCCCAAGTATACTTCACATTGAAAATTTATTTGGTGCTATTTTGTAAAATTAGGCTGAAGTTAGTCTAGGCTCCAGTTTTCTGGCAACAGAGTCTGTGCAATTAAAGCTATATCATTATTTTATATCTCTTCTCCTAAGTCTTATCTTATATATCTCCTCTTGACTTATTATCTTATCCTACCGTATCTTTTCTACTAACTCGTTTTCTTATATCTCTTCTCCAAACTCATTATCTTACATCTCTTCTCCTAACTCATTATTTTATATCTCTTCTCTTGACTCACTATCTGTTCTGGTGGGCAGAGTGGTGAATTGCACGGAGAGTGCAGAGTTACTGGTGAACAAGCTGAGTAATGATGAAGCAGCACTCAACTTTACTCTGCAGGATGACGAATCAAAACTCAACTCTAACCTGCAGAGAAGTGATGACACTGCATTAAATTCTACCCTATACGGTGATGAAGCAGCAATAAACTCATCACTATATTATGATGACCCAGTGGTGAATTTTGAATTGCTAGACGATGATGACGACGAAAACAAGACGACGACGTGCGAGGTGCCAGGCGTGGTCATGGAGGACGCTTGGCACTACGTTAGGATCGTGCCACTAGCGCCGCGTGTCACTTATGAACTGTCAGTGGCACTGACAGTGTGCGGGCGGTGTCACCCTGATAATCAGCTAAATCCTTCATCAGCAAGCGACCCACTGTTGCAAACCGTCAGCCATCTTTTCAATGTCAGCTTCAGTGACCTGAATGACACTGTCAGCAGTGCGGTAGATAGAAATTACACTGATTATGCAGAAATTAGTAATATAATAAAGCATGCTGATAATAACAGTGCTGTGGACAGCATTATCGCTAACCGCGCTGAAAAAATCAGTCAATCTTCTGGCAGACAGATGCAAACTTTACTGGAAGCAATGAATAACCCAAGCAGCAATTCGACTAATTATATTATACATGAAGTCGATAAAAATAATGTCACAACTGAGCAATTGTTAAGTTTAGCTTTTGATTCAGGAAACCTCACTCTGCAGAGAGAAGTGGAATACTTGAATGAAGTGGACAGCAATCTGGCGGACGACTTGGTTCTTTTATATGATAATACATCAAGACTGAACAGCACATTTACCGAGAACATCACATATTCTGAGAGTGATGGCAATAATAATGTCTCAGATTTGAACAAGTCTCCAGAGGGATGTTGGAACCGACATGACCTCGTCCGTAAATCATTCTCGGACAACCTTGTCTTCGAGTACGATCTCTCCCCCAACATTAATGGTTCTGTTCCACTGATGGTGAACGTAAGCACCACGACACCCACGCTCCTTGTCTTCAGCCTCACGCCTTTCTTGGACCTAGGAGGCACTCTGAGCGTGGAGCTTGCCTTATACCCTTTCCTGAACACCTCCTCTCATCAGTACAGACTGTCAGGATGTCTGACGTCGGGACTCCGAGAGATGCCCCAACATTACACACCCTGTAGCAGAGGCTATACTTTCCACCTGAACACCTCCAGTGGTGGAAGTGGAGGATCTTTGGATAATGTTGCCAAATCGGTGTTTGTGCCTTACCCTGACCCTGGTCCTTGGTATTTATCTCTCACTACCGCGTGCTATGTCCACAAAAACACCACCGTCGCATCCAAGGGAGATATTTTCTCTAACACTAACTCATCTACGAATGAAAGTAACAACTTCACCGCACTTTCTCATGGTGCTACCAATACTTCTGATGGTACTACCAATACTTCTGATGGTGCTACCAGTACTTCTGATGGTACTACCAGTCCTACACACAGTACTGCAAGCATGGTATCAGAGGTACCATGCTCGTCCCCTGAAGTCACCACCATCTTCAGCGTGTCGTCGTCGGCGTGTATACAGGGGAAGTGTGGACGTTATGGGGCGTGTTACCAATACGTATACTCCGGTTTCATCTTCTCGACATGTGTCTGTGAAGCAGGTGCGTCTGTGATGAAGATACATGCGAATTACATTAGTTAGGATCATTTTTACTCTGATAAGATTAGTTGGGCGCAAGTGTACGTACTCGAACTACATATTACGTATTATTTCGCTCAGATTAGTACCAATTGGTAATGCATTTATTTTATTATTTGCATTGTTATTATTATTATAAAAATTCTTTTATTATTATTATTATTATTACTATTGTGTTCAGGTTACAAAGGCTGGACGTGTTCTGACGCCAGCGATGCCACGCCTGACGGACTGCTGCTGCTGGCGACGCTACTGCTGACTCTCTCAAATCTGGCATTTGTGCCAGCCGTGCTACTGGCAATCTACCGGCACCACTACACCGAGGGACTCGTCTACTGCTTCACTATGTGCTTTTCTACCTTCTATCACGCCTGTGACCAGCAGGTCTACAGCTGGTAGGTGCCATACCTTCTATTTCTTTAACGATCATTTATTTACTTACCTTGTATCATGAGTGTAATATACGGTCTACATATGGTGAGTCTTATCATACCGATCCTTTACTGCTTTTATTATTTCATTCAGGAATCTTAACAATGCTATTTTCTCAGTAAGGCTTGTATGGCATCAAATGTCAGGAAGTATTCGTACAATTATATTATTTTCTTGCTCGCATTACAAGTTAACAATATTCATCTGTCATGTCACCAGCTGATATTTTTTCCTGCACATTTTACCCCTAAACAAAGTGAATGTAATGCGAGTACTTCCTGCAGAGGTTGCACATACCTAAAATAGCTGCTTATTTTTTAACTTCGGTTATTATCAGTTGACCCACGTGTCCCCCACAGTTGACCCATTTGTCCCCCGCAGTTAACCCACTTCTCTCCCGCAGTTAACCCACTTGTCCCCCACAGTTAACCCACTTGTCCCCCACAATTGACCCACTTGTCCCACACACTGGACACACTTGTCCCCCACAGGTGCATCATGCGGGCCAGTGTGCTGCAGTTCTGCGATTTCTACTCGGCGATCCTGGCGTTCTGGGTGACACTGATCGCCATGGCAGAGCTGCCGTTCACCCTGTACAGCGTACTGCACATGACGGGGGCCATCATGGTCGCCATGGGTGTCGAGTATGACCGTACAGGGCTGTGGGTGTTCGCTGTACCCGCCATCTCCGCCTTCATCGTCATGGCGGTCTCGTGGGGGATGCACACCCGTAGGGGAGGCACCTGCTACCCGCCCACGCGGTACTGGTTGTGCTGTCTGCTGCCTGGCACGCTGCTCGCCGCTACAGGTATATATATTTTAATTTTTTTACAGTTTTTTTTATAAGAGATGGGGGTCTCTTATAAAAATAAGACCGGGGAACCACAACAACAGGTATATTATATATTATAAAATATATTATATACCTTATACTATCTAAAATATAATGTGTTTGTGTTCTGTACTGGCATGTACGAGGCCTGTCTAAAAAGTATCAGACCTTTATTTTTCCCATGCAAAATAGAGACGATAGCGCGGTGCCACTCTACACAGTGAAGTAAGACACCTTCATGTGTATTCGTTAATTTTGTCACGTCCTTCCATCGCGTAAGTCTCTACCTAGCAGTCGCTGAGTGAGGTGCTACACAAATTGTTCGTTGAAAAAAGGCCAAATAGGCCGAAAAAAGCGCGACCGGTGTGAAGCGAAATCAAGGCGATGTTGACTGTCTTCTTTGATATCCATCACGAATGCGCACCAATATGAATTGGAATGGGACAAATGTGAATTGGGACAGAAATAAATCACGAATGCGCAATGGGAAAAACAGTGACAAAGGAGTACTATCAAGATGTTCTCCGACGTCTCCGTGATGCAGTTCGGCGCCAAAGGCCAGACACGTGGAACGCGAAAATTTGGCAACCGCATCACGACAACGCCACCGCACATTCATCCCATTTGATTCAACATTTCTTGGCTTAACACGGAATTCCTGTCGTTCGTCAACCTCCCTACTCCAGATATGGCTCCTTGCGACTTCTGGTTGTTTCCTAAATTGAAGACGCCACTGAAAGGATCCTGTTTTGAGAGTAGAGAAGAGATAGTGCGGAATTCGACGGCGGAGATGAACACCATTCCAAAAGAAGGCTTCCAGAGATGTTTCTGGCAGTGCAAGGATCTGTGGGCTAAGTGTGTGCAAGTATAAGGGGCCTCCTTTGAAGTGGATTAGGGTCCGTCAGGTGCATGAAATATTTTTTCTGGCCTATGATCGGATACTTTTTAGACATGCCTCGTATATAACAAGAGTTTGTACACTTTACAGGAAATGCCCCTGTTAGTTGGTGTGCTCTTTTTGACTAATTAATGTTTTGTGAATATAAATAAATACCCTAGTACCATACATAGACTTGGTGTTCGGTGAATCTGTTTCACCACCTCATACTTGCCATGGGTGAGGTTCTGTTTTCTCTTTCATACTTTAAATACTTGAATATTTATGACGAAGTAAGAGGATTACTCACGTGAATATTTCTGTTTTTGTAATGAACTGGTGTGCATATATTACCAAATACTCAACTGGAAATATCCTCAGGGCTGATCTGCTACGCATTCCTTGAGACGCACGATAACTACCAGTACGTCCACTCAGCCTGGCACGTGACCATGGCACTGTCCATCCTGTGCCTGCTGCCACCCAGACGTCCCTGCCACGCAGGTGAGTGATGGCCACCGTCCATCCTGTGCCTGCTGCCACACAGACGCCCTTGCCACGCAGGTGAGGGATGCCACATTGGCACTAAGTTGTCAAATGCCGGTCGATGTTCAGGATATACACAAATATTATATCCTGGTGAAACTCGTTACTATTTGACTTTGCCGTAAATTGTAAAGTTTCTCTGCCTTATTTTTGGAAATGTCTTTAAAGATTTCCAATTTTGGCATCAGGGAATAAATCTCCACTTGATCACAGAAGAAAGTGTTGCCAATGAAAAGACTTGTTCAAAATAATTATAGAGATGCCTTTTATTGAATTTTAATTGCCGTTTATTATTGCATGCCATTTGAAATTAATAATTTAACTATGTAGCGTAAATTTCAGTTTATTCGTTTACCGTGTCTTCCAACTAACCAAATCTAATTTCCAATTTCATAAAATTATCTACAAGTTTCAGTTTCATTTAAATTTCCCTAAAAGTTTTAGTTGCACTTGCAATTCCCTGCAAATTTCATTTCAGTGAATATTCTATATAGGTTTTTTTCTCACCAAATCTAACATATCATGCCCAACCCCATATGTCTAACATACAGTATGTCCAACCCCATATGTCTAACATATGTCCAACCCCATATGTCTAACATATGTTTTTTCTCACCAAATCTAACATATCATGTCCCACCCCAACTGCAGCTCCCTCTAACCTGCTCCCAGAGGCTCCCCACTTCCTTATATCTGCAGAGGATGACAGCCCAACCCTGCTTGCTCTGCGATCCTTCCCCGGTATCGTCCTCCACTCCTCTTCCTTATTGATACAACTTCCTTATTGATACACCTTCCTTATTGATACACCTTCCTTGTTGATACACCTTCCTTATTTATACACCTTCCTTATTTATACACCTTCTTTATTGATACACCTTCATTATTGATACACCTTCATTATTTATACACCTTCATTATTGATACACCTTATTTATTGATTCAACTTCCTTATTGATACACCTTCTTTATTGATACAACTTCCTTATTTAAGCATCTTCCGTATTTTATAATCCTTCTTTATTTATACACCTTCCTAATTGATACACCTTCCTTATTGATACACCTTCTTGTTTATTCACCTTCCTCATTCTGTTCCTTATCTTATGCACTGCTTCACCTGTTACGTGTTTCTGCTCAATCCAGTATTTTGCACCTTAATTTTATAATTTGTTTTGTTAGTGCTCGCTCGCCTTATGGGGCTAGAATTCTATAGCACCTAGCCATTCCGTAGTTTATAACCTCGTACCTTTTGTACTAATTTAATCAGGAGCACGTACCTATGAAATACTTAACATTTGATATTCGTATTTAGTGGAGTTGTTCTCTCTCACTCAAAAGTTATGAACAAAACTAAACCGATAATTTCACATCGATCGAAACTGCTTTGTACTTATCATGTGGTGATTGGAAACTACAAACTGTAGTTCTGGCCATCATGGTACGATTTTCATTTACGAGCGGCGAGTCAAGTTCAGTACCGGTATCAGCTCAGTGGCGACTTCTGTGTGTCAATAATGATACAAAATAAAAATTTGTGTCATTGACGATGCAAAATGATAATTGAGTGTCATCAGTGATATTGTTATGCTAAAGCAGCAGCTAATTGTTGTGTTCAGCTTGTTTACAGCTGCGTTTTTCTTACTGATGTTTGCAGCTGGTGATGTCCTTCTGTTGCTCATAATCTGTTTTCTTTCACTTCTGTCTGTCTTACAGGCGACAAGCTGCTCGTGTCAGACGGCAGTGACAGCGCTGATCAAGTCTTGAACGGTTCTCTAGTACTGTGATGCCGGTTCGTCTCTTGAACCGATCTTGTGAACCGTCCCCAGTCGTCTGGTCGCGTCTACTTTGAATGCTAATTTATTCTCTGAACCAAACTTGTGAACCATTCCTACCTGTCTTATGTTGGCTCGTCATACGAACCTAACCATTTCTTAGTGTGAATTTTTTTTAATCCGAAAAAATCTTTCTTCGATAGTCTAATAATATAATTATATAGGTATATGATATGTCAGCACTATATTAAATTTCTGTATTTTTTATTTTTTTGTCGAGATTGTCTCTTAAATCGTTGCCGGTAACATCTTAATTCAAAATTTTATTTGATATCGTTATTAATTGTATTGGTAGCTTGAATCATTATTGCGATCAACACAATAATGCAATATCAAAAGTGTGGCTATTATTTTATAACGTACGCTAATGTATGAATTAATTTACTACAAAATTGCACAAATGTTTCACTTATGACGCATTAGTTACTTAGTTTGTAATATGTTAGCCATATAGGATTAATGGCCGCCATATTTATCATGTATGTTTATGACATTTACTCGGATATTTTGCCAAATGTTCCTTTCTTGCGCCAGTTATAATTTAATTCTTTTGTCCCATGGAGACCCAGTCTTTAATTCTCGTCCCATTCTATTCCTAATCAAAAACCTAAATTTAATATTAATTTTTCCACAGTTTGTATTTATAATCTTAGGCCAATATACTCTCTTGAACGTAGCTAAGTCAAATGTTTTTAGCCGTTGCATTTTTTCTACTGATTTGCACAGGCTATATTAATAATCTTCAGTCAGTTTAATCTGTTGAATCTTTTTGGATATATATCATGATTATTTTCTAAACGCTCTATTTAAATAGTTGGTAATTATATCCTACTACTGATTTGCTCATGTAATAGATTGCGAGCAGATTAAATTCAATCAAGTTTAATGAATCGAAGTTCTTCCCAAGTTTCTTTTGCATCAACAAAAATGTTCCCCAGCTGAACGCCATTGTCAGCTAGTCAATAATTTAACGATATTGATTTTAGTTATAATTTATTTATAAGTTTTTACTTGAGGATTTTGTTCTTAACTCCTCTGAACTTATAAGTCAGGATACACTCCTTGTATTAAAAACTCATTTTGTGAAGGCAGTATTTATGACAGTGGAGTTTACGGCCTCAGAGTTTCTCAATTTATTTTTAGTTACAAATCACAAATGGATGTTGGTCTTTTCCAAATAATTATGTGGTTATTTTACTCGTGTTGTACAACATCAATTCATCTTACTTTATTGCTGCAATAAATATTTATATATCTACGTATTATATATAGGTATCTATCTGTAATACTCGAGGTATGACTGAATTGTGATTTATTTCGTACATCAGCAGGTGTTTCACTTGTATGTGAAATCTTGGCATTAACTTACATTTCTGTGCCTGTTATTATATAAGACCCTATCTTACTGTTCTCTTGAGGATTATGTTCTGCTACGTAAATTCTGTGTTGGGTACACAAATGTGAATTTTCAGCATCTCTGATGATGGTAACTTTGATGGCACACAAATATAAGCAATGCATGGATGTTTGTAAAACACAGGAATGTAGGCAGCTACGTAGCTGATCCGTCCTCTGTTCAAGTTAATGTTATTGAGCCGTTATCCTATGTGCTACATTGCACCTCGATGTATGTGCCACGTAGGAGCTACTCGCGTGCTCGTTGCCGCCACGAAGGACGTAAACCATAAATGCGTCATACGTATATTATTAATATGATTGTTTCTTTATGGCAGCATGTGCATATAGTATCGTGTTAAGGATAAACTAGACGTCCTTGATTGTCTAACCCCTGGTAACAGTTGCCAGTGTGTGGGAACTCCACTTTCGTGTTATTTCAGTTTCATCCACTTTGAAAAATCAATGCCTCCTATCGTCCGAATAGTGACATACTTTCTTACCCACGACAAGAGCACACAGTGGACTGATACGCTTTCTGATGCGCCCTTTTGCCGGGTCAAACTGGAAACAGACACAAGCGCAAAAGTGCTTCGTCTGTTTCCAGTCTGTATGTCTGGAAACAGTATGTCTGTCCAGTCTGTTTCATTTCTATGAATGTATGTTGTGTTGTAGGCCGACTGGCTGTGTCACCTCTACTCTGGCTTAAGGTAGTTAGTGTAAACAAGCTCCAGCTTGTAATTCTCTGTACCTTAAATCTATTGCACAAAGATTACTCCAAAGATATTTTTTCTAGTAGATCGTTAGTGATTGCGACTATTGTAATGGTTTCACTGTTGTGGGTAGCTATTGAGACAATACCTCTTGTGGGTGAGTGTCAGTTATGGATGAGTATTGAGTTCCAGAGGAACTGTTAATACATGAGCTTGAATTCTTGAGCCTAGCCGGTTGTCATTTTTCGATTGAATTGTAGAGTCAAACGTAGATAAGATTTCAGTTCAACTTAGTGTAAATAACTTCATTGGAAGAAGTTACTTTTGACATGTGCGACTTTAGTGCGTTCATGGTGATGATCGCACCTAGTTAAACTCACTGAATTGTAAGACATGAACTCAGTTATTACAGGTGAATCAGCATCGTACTTGAAAACATTTTTTGAGTGGATTAGACTAAGTATAAGTTTGGTATCTTCCTCACCGATGTCATTTTAAGAACCGTGAAAAAGGCCCCATTGTCTTCAATCATTACACGCCTGTTATTTTCAATACTCGCCGTCACCATTTTATATTCACGTAGATTTCACTATTTCCCTTGAAGGTAGATTTGAACGCCCGATATCATATCTTCATTTGTAAATCAACTGACCGTCGCGAAGCTTGTTTTAATTAGATAGTCGGATTACTAGAGTCAATGACAGTTCTTAGTCAGCCGCCCGTTCTCGTAATTATTTCGGAGAATTTAAACTTGTGCGATGTGTAATTAATTTTTTAGTATTTTATACATATTCGTCTCTTATTATGTGGACAAATTGCTTGATATTTTGGCTGATAGAGTCGGCATGGGCGTGATAATGTAATTTATCCAACAGATGCGTTTAACACTTCAACTTTATAAACGAAATATAACGTGGCTTCGAGGTTTCTCTACGCCCTTTACCAAGTTCATAGTGTTTTAAATTCATCTCAATATTCCGATATCTTTTAATGCACGTTTCCTGTTTAAGTAGGTTATTATGATACGATTGTTTTTCAAAAGGTAATGGTTTCCAAAAAAAAAAAAATAAATAAATTTTCATAACTATTTTCTTTAATATTTAAATAAAGAGTAATATTCTCCTTATTGTGAACTTTGGAAGCTGTCACATTGAACACAAAAATGAGTACAATCTGTCATTGTCTTTGCTGTGAGAGTGATGTAGTCAATGGGTCCCAGTTGTCTTTAAAAATATGTTGTAAACTCGTTTTCTATTCGACATTTTCTAGCCACGATCGCCAATTACAGGGTTATGATTAACGTAGCACAATATCGTGTTACATTCCCAGATTCTGATTAACGTTGTTCTTGAATAGTTTACTGGTAAAGATAAATACGAACGGGAGAAAATATTGAAAATTTGCCAAGCTTACATTTCGCGGACCTGTTTGGAAGTTGATATGGTGATGTTCGGAAATTCCGTTTTTTATCTTCAGTGTTTTCCGAGAAGGTATGCTATGGAGTTCTGATGCGACGTTTTGCTTGCAAAAGTGATAATGAATAGTAATATTTATTAATTGGATAAAGATTTAACCACGGAAAATAATGTCTGATTGCATGGAAATACCCCTACTGGACAGTGATGAGGTATGAAATGGATTGTAAATCATTCATCTTACCTATCGTCTATACCATAGCTAGGCTAGTCCGCTAGTTGGGTCAATTTATAAACCTTACCGATCCGATACTGGGGGAATTTTTCAATTGAGTTTAAAAACTTGATACAAAACGCAACAGAAAATTTTTTCCCTTGCCAATTTTTTAAATCTGCAGTCTGCACCTTGATTTAACAATAATATGCTATTAATTTTCAAAAATTCTCTAAAAAAATTATTTGCTTAGCTAGGTAGCTAGCTATCTAGGTAAACTGGAAAATTTTGCACATTGCAGAAGCTAGGCCTAAGATGGAAAATTTTCTACTTTTTGCTATAATCTTGTGGTTCTAAATTATCATATCTTTAAAGAACTTGAAATCTGTGTGTGTGGGTCAATGGTGCAGTCTAGTCTGGAAAAGTCCTAGGGTAAACGCGGTATATTCCGACACTTTAAGGACGCATCGAGAAATGAAAAACTATAAAAAAAAACCGTATGCATTACGTAAGTTCTGTTGCCTTCACATGACTCTCAAAACACTTCACTACGCG